CAATTTCAAATGGAAATGTTTTTCCAAGAACAATATTTGTGTTTGTGGGCTATGAATGTGGTGCATTCACCGTTTCATTTTATATTGTTTTCCGGTGCATTAAGACACAAATAAAAGCTTACTAATGTACAATGTGGTTGTATAAGAAAACAACTATCTGGTTATAACTGTGCGAGGTGAAGCAGCTAAAGTTAAAATTGCAGACTCGTCGATGCGCGTTGTTTTAAGATAAGCAAGCCGAATTTTAAATATGTGTCTAATTGATACCTGGAGCAAGTTGGTAACATTTTTAAACCACCTGAAGTTGCAGGTGCGTAAATCTTAAATGTTTTAAGGGGATTTAGAAGAAGACATTCCATTCCTGACAGCTAACACAGACAAACCGACCGTTTGATAAAGAATAAAAGTTTTCTCACGATTTTAAAGACTCAATGAACCAGTCATCTAAAATATCATCAATCTCCACAGCTTCCGTCTCTCCCATCTTCTCTCTTTAAAGGCGCTTCATTGCTGCTTCTCCACCAGTTTCCGCTCAGTTTCCGTAACTTTTTATTCATTCAGTGGCCGCAGCGCATTACCGCCACCTGCTGGTGTGGAGTTGTCACCGATTCAGAGCGTGTTTGGAACCACAAAAGGTTTAAAAAACAAACAAATAAATAAAAAATCATCAAATGTTCACATACAGGGAAGGAATACATTTGCTTCAATGAGACATTAAATTAAAAAAAAAAGTTATCCCAGCAAATTTACAACCATAAGACTCTTATTTAATATAAAACATTTCATTCTTTAGGAAATTCGATGTATATATTAAATTATATCACCTGAGGGCAAAAAATACTTTAGGTGGCATTATTTTTTATTACCTTTAAATAAACACAAATAACTTATTTCTTGAGCACTCCTGGGGAAAGTTATTAGTGGATAACTTTCACTAATAATAGGTTTAATTTATTACAAGGAATGAATCTTGGTTCAAAAACAAAACATTTCTCCATCCAATGGAAATTATGGATCATAAACAATACATTTATTTCGAAACAAATATAAACTGTACTGTATGAGCTAATACTTGGTTAGCAATTTTTGAATCAAGTCCCAATAGGTACAACTAATTGTAATACCTGTATGAGTCTGTAATTACTATGCTGGATGAATTTGTTGCTGACTTGGTTTAATACCTCCACACATGTCTCTTAAGTTTCATTTGGAGCCTGGCTTGTTTGTCTCACTGATCCAAATTGCAGCACTGCCTACTGCTGTAAGTATAAAGGATTGTTCCTGAGACAAAGCAAGAACAGCTATAAAGCTGTTTCATCAGTTCATGTGTCTTCATGAAAATTCTGGAATTTTTTTCTTTTTCTAAAAAAGAAACAAGACCTTCTGATTTTAAAATTTCTAATATGGTCAAAAATAAGAGAAAATTCTAATTCATATTCAAAAATACTTTATTAATCCAAAGGGAAATTACAGAACAAACATGAGGACAAGGGGCTTCTACTTGGTGTACAAAGCACAATTAGCTGATACTTAATTTCTGTTTAGTAAGTTTAATGAGAAAAGAGCAATCACAGATTCTATAAATGCCATTAAAGACCATTAATTAGTCAGTGTGATTCAGATAAGCTCAGGAAGAAACTATAGAATTGAAAAAGCTCCAGCAGCTGCAAACATGGAGAGATAAGCTTCAGTTTTTTACAATAAAGCAGGAAAAAAGTCAAGATAAAGCACATTATTCAGCGTCTATATTTGATTTGAGGCTGGTATATATTAACTTATAGCTGTTTTGCTTGGAATAGTAAAAAATGAGTTCAGCTTTGGCTGAGTTTCTGTCATTTGTATTAATTCTTATGGGCTTTTTAAGGAATGTAAATACAGGGATTAAAAACTTTTGAATTGTTAATGTGAATTTGTAGTGCAACTGTGCTTTTAATAAAATCAAGAAACTAAGGATTCAAGCATTTACTTACCTTAGGTAACAGGATTATTAGATAAGGTTTCAGCTATCCTCCTTTTAGTGCAGAAATTTCAGATTTGATTACATAATAATCCACCTTTGACAGGAAGAAAAGCTTTTATGATGCTTTGGCAACAATGCTACCCGTGATTTCACTGCAGTGCTTGTTTTCTCCTGGACAGACTGGTGACTGCATGCTGCCCACGCCATGCAGCGCTCCATCACTGCAGCTGTTGTTTTCCTTCCTCTCCCCCTTCTCTTCAACAGCCTCATCACTCTGTTCTTCCTGCTGTCTGACAGGCGAGAGTCTGAGTCACTTTCGGTAAGTCGGAAACAAAGAATCCAACTTGGGTCTGGATTACGATAAAAATCCTCCATGAATGCATGCAGGTGCATCAACAAATATTTGTAAATATTTTAATGATTATGGCTTAGAGATAAAAATAACCTAAAAAAATCAGAATATAAAATAAGATAATTAAAAATGACATTGTTTAATGTTTTGGTTATGGCTCCTTTCAAATAATTTCTGTATCAATGCGGCATAGCATGGAGGAGATCAGCCTGTGCTGCTGAAGTTCAGGACGCCCAGGAGTTTGTTTTTCCTCCTCTTCCTTCTGACAACACACCAGTCTTTGTGGGGTCAAAGGTCAGGACCGTTCACCAGCCAATCAACCACATTTGATGTTTTGAGTTAATGATATGATAAAGATGTGACACCATCTTTTTCTCACAATATTTTAATTTACTGAGATGCTGAATTCTGAGTTTTCTTAACCTGAAAGCATTAATCATCAAATTTACATGAAATAAGTGCTGAAATATTTAACGTCTCTCTAGTAAGTGAGTCTCACGTTCCAAAGTTTAGACTACTTTATCAGGCAGCCTTGTGAGATGGGCTGGTCGCTGAAAAAGTATTTGCTTTTTATTTGAACGAACATGGACTGTGATACTTTAGTAATAATTTATTTGGCTACCTGTGTCTCTTGGAAGCAGCATCCTGCTAGATATGAAGCAAAACAGAAATAAGCATGCTCAATAAATGCAAAATATGACCTTTCTGACTGGATAAGAGTGAATTTAAATTAAATCAGACTAGTCATCACATCAGAGACCCGTTCAAATCTGTGTTGAAACATTTCAGTATATTCACAGAAGATGTAACACACGAGTTGACATAAAAAACTAGTCTTAACTTCTACTTTCTTTTTGAGAAAACTAATTTAACACAACATCTTGCGTCATATGAGCTGCTGGGTTTTTAACATCACTGAGATCTGACAGACTTTCTTCCACTGCTGTAGTCACAGCAGGAAAGCTTTTACCCTCCTGAGTTAGAAGAATTGTTCAACTGTCCATGAGATGAGCCAGTTAGCAACAACAAACTTCCCCTGTAACCCAAAAAGAAACAGAATCTTTAATCAGAGTCATTGTTTTCATCATTTTATTGTTTTAGATTTATTTATGAAGATTTAGATTCTTCTCTCAAAGCTATTCTACTGTTAGTTGTTATGGTTTCAGGCAAGACGCTGAAACAATGTTTACTCGTTGATGCCTGGGCATCTCTGGGAGATTTACTCAGAAATAACACCCCCAAAATGAATCCCATATATCTCAGGAACTGCAAGGTCTATTTGAATGGTTCTGGTATCAAAATAAAAGTAACACCCTATACAATACTTTGGAGAGCTAAAATCAACACGGAGTGCCACCGTCAAAAGTGGAAAAAATATATATTTAGTGATGTGGATTTCTCTTGAGAGAACATTTAGCAATCCACAGTACACTTTAAGACTAAGAAATTGACTAAATGTTTGACGGATAAAAAAACAAACAAAAAAAAAAACACTTTATTTACTTCCAAATAGAAATATTGGTTTAATAAAAATCAACAAATGGACTTTGTGCTTCTTCTTGGTTTGAACAACCATCATATTTTTACAAATAGCAATTTGTGTTCTGATTCTAAAGTTCAGGCAGCTTCTCTCAGCATCATATTGCCTGTTAATGAAACGTGATGAATTGGCCTGTGCAAGTGTGCAACCTCGGCCAGACTGATGAATACTAATGCTGGGAAATAGGTCATCTAATGAATGATGCACATCAACAAGCTGATGGAATGAGCACTCACTCGCAACAGGTGGGAGGCAAAGGATGTGGCTTTTCTGTCTGTTTGTCCTCCTTGTTGACACTTAGGAACGATAATTAACCAGCTGGAAGGCACAAAGTTTGTCTGAACACACTTAGCAATAAAAATAGATTTTGCGCTCCTTTTATTGACAAATGTTTGGATGTGATGGAGTACTGATGTGCATAAGGTCAGCTCTAAATTATGTATGATCTGTTTACGAAAGTAACCAACACATACGTCTGTCCTGACATTTCCTCTGCAGAGTCACGGAAACATAAACTAAATGTTCCAGTCCTGATGTTCAGCATAGCTCTTTTAATTCTAAGGTTTTTTTCAGTCTAATGGAAGCTGAGCTTAGCAACATTTGTTATTTTTTAATCCATAAGATTAAAGTTTTTCAGTTTTGGGTGGTGTAAAAATATTTTCTCAGCTTGTCTAAATTCTTTGGTTCTCATTTGAGCTTATCTCAAGCTGGATTAAGTTTGTTTTACATCCTGAGAGTCTAGAATTCTGTCCACAGACTTCTTTGCAACTCAAAAGCTCCATTACTCTAACTATAGACAACATTTATTGTCAAAATGTAATCACACTGAGGTGTGATTTGACTTTAAATTATGGAATTTCATCAGACCGTTCTCAGTTTTAACAGCAGGCCTTCGAGTCTGTCATGTGATGATATAAAAAGCATAAACTTTTATGAAATGATTATAATCATTTACAGGATGATTAACTCTTTCTTTGGGTGCTGTACTCTTTCTAAATTATGATTAAATATTGATCCCTTAAAAACATCAGATCACTGATGAAATACACTAACAAATCAGTCATGATGTTTTATGTGAAATGAATGTCTTCATATTTAATTATCAAGCATTACTACAATTAATGAAGGATTGCTGAAGGGATGGAAACTTGAGAAGGTGCTTATAAGCAGAAATAAACAGAAAACACTATTAATTTTTTTGAAAAAATGTTTTACTTTGATTTAAAAATTCATCTGCATATTGACTTATTTGAAGATTGTTTGGTCTCAACCTCCTTTTTATTGTTTCCATGGTTGCACATTTAATATTCTGGCTCCCTCTCACTACAGAGATAACACTGTTTTAAATTATGGGACAGAAACTGCACTGAGCATGCTCAGTGAAGTAATAAGTAAGTGACAGAATAATGAAGGATTTAACAGTTCAGAAGATAAAGAGGCTGACAAAAAACAGAAAGAAAATATAAAATATTGGTCACAATCAGTTTTGTTTGAGATGAAGTAAACTCACAATGGATTCCACTGATAAAACAGGAGGAAATAAGAAGATAAAATGTATATTCTGGGATGTAAAAAAAAAAGAGAACACAAAATAAATGCAAACTGAATTACAATAAAGATTTATCTCATATTTTTTGGTTTGCTCTCACAGTAAACATAAAGATGAGCTCAAATATTGAAAAATATTCCACATCTCAACAGATTTTCTACATCAATTACTTTGGATATTTCTTTTTCTTTATAAGTCTTTTCTATTACATTAGCCTTAAATATTTAAAAATATTACGATAGAGCAATATTATTATATAACATTTCTGTGAGCTGTTTGACAAATATGAATCTTAAAACTACAACCATTTTAATTTGTTTCTAAAATGCTCCAAAGGAGCTTCTCAGATTTTACAAACCCTGATCAGATTGGATATTGATATCGGGTCAGATTTTCATATTGGTTCACCCTGTTAGCTTTAAGGAACTGTTAGTGAACAATAAATAAAAGATTTCAAAATTTCTACAGAGAACAATATTGGGACCATGAGGGAGTCCAACAAAAAGTTAATTGTTTTAAAACATATTTTTAGATCTCCTCAGGTGGCGGTCTGATTGTTTCAGTTCACTGAGTTTAACAAACTGTCTCCAAGTTTCATTTATGCTGCCGGTTTTATCAGTTTGGATTTACTCCAACATCCAAAACACATTTCTTTATCTGTTTTCATGTCCAACTCAACAAATAAGTTCCATCATCAGGTTTTATAGATATGTCTGAGAACCGTTTGTGGTTCATGCTGTGTGAGCGACATGTTTCCCAGCTGTGAGCATCAGTCCAGATGTTTGCCACAGACCCATCTGAGCTGAGGCTGGTCTCTGAGGTCCGTCGTCTCTGAGCTGGAGAGCCAGTTGCACTGGCAGGCGTAAGCCCGCAAACCCTTCCTCTTCTTCAGTTTGGCTTGGAGCTTCTGGCGGTCCGGCACGTTGTTCCTGCAGCAGCCACAGAGAAAATGGCAGCAGTTTAATCACTCAGCATGCAGGCTGCTCCTTTTAGCAAACAGGACAATTTTCTCATCTAACACACAATAATAGAGTTATGCAGCAATGTTTTTTTTATTTTATTTTTTTAACTCAACTATTCAACATAGCCACCAAGAAAATTAACCTCCTGGCTATGAGCAGAACTTTTAATAACATAACAAAAAAATATAGTTAGTCCACTTTAAAACTACATAAATAGCTTTTGACTTCCCTTATCAACCTTTAGCAAATTCATTGGAAGTTAAACGGATGCAGTAATGTTGCTGAATGTTTTTCAGCATTTATGAATGGTTATGAAATGTTGGAAACTTTAAAAATCAACGTGAGGGTCATAAAACTTATGGCCTGCAAAGTTTATGGAATTTACACATGAAAAAAACTGCAGGATGAGAATTTTTATCATCTGCATTTCAATACAACACTGCAAAAGCACAATAAATATGTAATAAATATAGATGTGTAAATATTTTAGCACATTTGAAAGAACTAACTTTTCAGCAAGATACACAGGCTTGTTTTAAGTACTGAATTTCTCAAAATTAAGAACTTAAAGAATGACATATTTTTTTATTATTTGATGAAAAACTATGACTGTACAACCACAGGCAGATTATTTCACTTACAGTATGATTTGGGGGGAAATGTCATTACATAAAATAATCTTATTAATCTTTTAATAAGATTATTAATTATTAATAATAATATATTTAAAATCAATATAAAAATATTTAATAATAAGCTCCCATATCTTTCTGAAAAATTACTTATAAGTTTGTATTATTTCAAGTGTACTGAGATATTTGCACTAGAAACTAGATTAAAAAAACGGTTGGAAAGATTTTGTATTTTTACAGTGAATGGGCATTTATGATTAAAATCAGTCCAGATGATTTGTTTAATAATAGATTAAAACACAAAAAAAAAAACTTTTATGATGTCTGAGCTTCTTCTTTTGGCTTTATCACACTTCAACTCTGTGTTTTAGTCTCAAAAAGTATCTGCTTAAAACAGTAAAAGATGATGAAGTGCATTAAAACCTTAACTGATGAAACCAGACCTGTGTGTGAAAATTATTTTCACCACCACATGCCAGGATTGTTAATGAAAGGCAGATAAGGTCCATTAATTCCTGCTGTTAAGGGCTCTTTTCTGGACCCACCACCAGCAACACCAATAAGACGCTTGATGTTTTTGCTGAAGCACCTCAATGCTATCTGCACAGTTTCATAAGCTGCACTGTTGCCACATTACTGGCTGATTGAATAATTGCTTAGCAAAGTGTTCACTGACAACAAGCCTTAGCTTGTTTTAACCAAAACATTTCAATTAACAGTTTGGTGACTAAATTGGTTTTATCCAATATAAACTCCTTTGGATTTAAAGGTCAGTAGTATAATAACATTAGAAGATATAAAGAACAGAGTGAAGTTAAACCTCAGTCCAGCTGTTTTCATCACGAGTTCACAGCTGTAAGTCTGCTCTTTAGAAACTTTTCCATCAACATGAGATGAAAGAAAGCAGCTGTTCCAGTTAGAGATCTCCCATAGAGCCCCTGAGTCGGATTTAAAAAGCTCACATCTGCATCTGATCAGCGTCTTTAAAACGAAATGGGAATCAATGTAGAGAAAACTTATGTTGGTGTAATAAACAATTGAGATATTTTTTAATTAAAAAGATGTTTCATTGCTAAATCCCATCAGATTTTATTTCTTCCCGTCTCTGTTTTTCAACAAGTTGAGGATAATTTGCCTGAACAAAAATAGATAAAATACATGTTTACAACTTAATTTTATCCAATTAAATCCCAATAGATATTATCTCTGTTTTCTTTTTGTTACTGAAAAATTAAAACCACTTCATCTCAGTTAATAAAAATATTCACCTGTTCACAGAAGACAGTGAACATTAAGCAGTGAAGCTTTTCAGATGCTGTTTTGATTGTTTTAATTTCTCTGAAAGAAAGAAAAAACATTTCACACCACATCACTACCTATTCTTGTAGTCAAAAAGGGCTTTTAAAACAGCTTTCTTTATTTGACTAAAAGCTTCCTTTGAATTAAAGTTACTGATAATTGTGACAGTAATTAGCAAGTCACACAAGTGTACATGTATTATCACAGGTCCCTCCACCTATTTAAACAGCCAAGTTTTCAAGAGAGCATAGTTAAGGAGTTTTTATAATATATGAATGCATGTATATATTTTTTTGCAATCTGCAAATTACACCTTTTTTTACAGTCTCTATTTCATCTATATTATTATTGACAACTCATGATAATTTCTCCACCAGGAGACAAATAAAGGACATTTCTATTCAAGTACAAAAACTCACAACATCAGTCATAAAGAAACCTGTGAGATGTTAACAGAGGAAGAGCGTGTGTTGATATAAAGCTGGAGAGGTAAACAGCTTCTTCAGGTTCTGTCTGGTTATTTGTTGCGCTGTTTATCGTCGAACGGCTGGGGCTGCGACTGCAGCTTTCTGTCTGGATGATTCCGCTGACATTACAACTAGAAGGCCAAACTCATCCTCCTGAGTGCTCCTGAGTGTCTCAAAGTGTTTTGAACTTAAAGAAGCACAAAAAAGAAAATCCCACAGAGCTGTACAGAAAAAACGGTTAGTGATAAAATGTCAAGGTGTCAAATGATGTGTGTGACTTGGGCAGATGTGAGCGCAGAGGAGTTGGCTTTTCTTACTGAGCTACAACAGGCCGACAACAAAAGGTAACTATAACAACTTTATCCCAATTTTACCAATTTTTTTTCTTTTTGTAGTTTTCCTCCTTCAAAGTAAAGAGAATGTTCCCATTTGAATAAAACCTACTTTGTTCAGATGTTTAAAATTATCTAAAATTCTGGTTCAAAGAGCAACACTGACTGACAATAACTTGATTGTAATTCAGACCATCACAAGATGCAATCAAATCACCATTTTAAAATGAGTTTTATTCCATAAAAGGAACAAAAACACTTCCTTATGGGTCTGCTGAGGGAGCTGCAGTGCTAAAGCACAGGAGGTGGCAGTTCATTTCAGCCGTTTTAGCTGTCAGATACTTTCAAGGACCATTTCTGTGTCTAACTCCCAAAAAACAGCCGTCCACTTCAACTCCTTTCATCTTTTACAAAACAACATGTCCGTAAGAATAACATGAAAGAAACATATTTGTATTTTAACATACATTATCTGTCATACATATTCACCCATTCATTAGACGGATCTATGTCTGAACGGACGGACGGACAGAAGGATGAATTGAAGGATGGATGGATGAATGGATCCATCATTCGATCGATCGATTGATCGATGGACAGATCCACAAATGGATGGCAAAATGAGTTAATTTTTTTTGTATCTTTTGGGATTAATAAAGTATTTTTAACTGAATTTAATTTTACGTACTGTATGTATAAAAAAAACTGATATTTTGTTTAAGTTAATGTTGAATTACGACCATTAGTTTCGTAAAATAAAAATGAAATAATCAGGCAGCTTCAACATTGTCGAACAGTAAATAATGTGTTGTAAAACATAGTTCATGAATTCTCTAATGCCTCTAAAATAGCAGAAGACTGCAACACAATATGATTACTGTTATAAACAGCAGAAGTTCAATGGTAGAGACAACTGGAGCTTCCTCCTGTCTAGTATCAACTTATTTTACCCTTTGTGCTCAGAGCAGAAATCAACATCAAGACGAGTCGGGATTCGATGATTCATTCATGTTATTTTTGACCAGATGAGGGGAGTCAGCCAAACATAGCAGGACTGGAAATGAGACAGCAGCCAAACGTGCAGACAGGTGTAATAGATCCATCATGTCTCTTTGTGTCAGGACCGCTTCTCCCTGTTAGTTTCTGAGTCTTTGTGTCCGGGCTGCATTCACTCTTCAAAAAGCACTAACAAGCATCACATTTCCATCACTTGTTGCTGCCACTAGATGAAAAAGACATATATTTCTCAGATTTCTTCTGAAAACAGAAGAAATTAAACCTTCAACCTCAAACATTATTAGATTCACCTGAAGCTTCAATATTTCTAACCTGATCAGAGGTTAAATTAAAAACTCCACCAAATCTGTGGGCAAAATATCCAGATATGTTTTGGCAAGCAGGGAGCAAACATCTCACTTAGAGAAGGAGATGCTCTCAGAATTTAATCAACCTCTGGAAGCACCTAGACACACCTCCATCATCTGACCATGGTGGCCTGTCAAACACAGTTACTGTAACAAATGACACAGTGTCACATTAAATCAGTTCTTATCCCTCTGGGTGACGCACATCTACAAACAATGTGACCATCACCTTGGGGTCAACTGCACCAGAAGATGGGGGTGATGCTGGCCTCAATGTGCGGTCACGTTTTAATCTGCTCCTGATTTTATCCTGCAAACGTAATTCATTCACAAATAGCTAATCAATTATATCACCTAATTGAGTGATGAAACTGTGGCTGGACATTGAATAGCAATGATTTTATAAGGAAGATCAAACTGCACTCACTGAATCAGGAATTAGACATTATAAAGAAGTAAGAAAAAGACATTTTGTAGTTCGTTGACATCACACTAGCTGCATTTTCAATGACCATATAACTGCACAATTTGCCACCCTTTGTAACACTAAAGCTAATTTCAAACTACCCTCCAACCCTCATTCAAAAATGTAATTAAATAATAAAATATAATAATTAAATAATACTAGTGATTCATAAATCACTGGTAAGAGAACCTAAGAAATGACTTCATTAGTTACCAGGTTAGATTGGACCGTTGAGGTTTTAAAAGAAATCCAGCTGTAAGATGCTTTGAAATAAGTCTGCTTGTTTATATTCTGGTCACATTGATGTCCAGATTACAGAACTGGTCCCATCAGGAGGAAAGAGCAGCAGCTCTCATGGCCTGATGTGGATGTGGGCAGCTTAATGTCGCTCTTACATTTTTTTATTTATTTTTATAAAGATGCTCACCTCTTAAAAACCAGATTTTAAACCTCTTATCTTCTATGCTTCGCGTTAAAGGATGTTAAAGAAAGGAAACAATATCCGCACGGGTAAATACTGCCACCTTTTGGTCAAAAGCTAAAATTTCACCCAAAACAACAGTTTTCTTTTCACATAGGAACTTTCTGAAAACAAGTTTTTAACTGGGGTTTTATAATCTAAAATTAATATTAAATTTACTACAGAGGATTATTTTAGGAATTGAGGGATTAGAAATCTGAGATAATTCACCAATAATAACAAAATATACAATTCAAGATGATACCCATTAAGAGTATGCCCATTAAATATGTAAATAAAGCATTTGAATAAGCCTTCAGACTCACCTGAGGAACAGATAGTCACATGATGCGTCCCATTCAGAATCGTCAAACATCAACACCCGGAAGTCACAGGAGATGCACCTCAGCTGGTCACATGTCCTATACATGCATACACATCTCCACTAGTCATTGATTTTTTAACAAACTTCTATTAAACACATTTCATTTATCAGTGAATTATAGTTGAAAAGTGCAAATTCTGCATGATCAGAATGAACTGGAATAAGATTCAAGGACGCTGAGGTTCTGTGTCCTGATAAATTCAAAGAAGATGAGACTCAACAGATGCTGTTGGAATAAATTTGTGTTTTCACACCTTTTGGAAGTGGCTGTTCCAACACCGTTTGTTACCGAGCTCCCACCGATGAAAACAGGACAGCACCTGGAAGTGAAACGGAGAGAGCAGAATTTCTCAAAGTGACACAAATACACCGCAGGTAAAATCAAAGTCGCCACGGCAACAAGAATAAAAGTTTTTATTGGTAGAAAATGAGAGATAAGATTAAAATCAACAGCTCAGAAATGTCCAGTGCTCATGTTCAGTCAGGTGCAACAATAAATGTTTTTTGTCCATCAAAGTTAACTTAATTTTGTTCATAAAAACAGAAATACAGAAAATAATTTTCAAAGTAACATCTGTCTTTTTTTTTCTCTTTTGTAACAGTTTTGTTTTTTCTTTAACTCAAGCTAAAATACTCACTTTCTTCCAGCAGACTGTGATGAGAGTTTCTTCTCTGCTTGTTCTCTTTTAGAAAACTGTTCACCCTGAAAAAGAACAGTAAGAAAGAGATTATAGTTTAAATAATTTGCTTATGACTGTTTAATTTACCTGGTGTCTAAATAGTTTTCAAATCAAACTTTCACAGAAAGTCACACTTTGATAAAATCTGCATGGAGAGCCAAAGAAGAAACATGCCATGTGGAAACACTTTGTGCAATTAAGAATTTTAAGAAATCACTGATAGTTCTTGTAATAGTTTTACATGCTCAATGCAAAGAAAAACAGTATGTTGCAAAATATATATATATTTTTCCTAATAAACCATTAAAAAAGCACAAACAAAATAAACTTAGGTGTGGCATTTATGGAGACACTGTTTTTTATTTTTTATAATTTAAAATTATTCTCTAAGCACCTCTGCCACAAATATTTTACAGACATGAGCCCACCTTTGACTGAGGAGAACTGTCAAAATCATCTTCCAGTAATTCCTCCAGAAGAGCGTCAATATCCTCAGAAACGCTGCTTTTATGTCGCTCACATTTTGCAGCACTAAGTCACAAAAACAAAATGTTACTGTACGCACTACTGAATACCATCTGCATGATTTATGAATAGTGGTTTTCTATATGTGTACTATATAGTATAATAAAAAGTTAAATATTTTTTGTCCCTCATTTCAGAAAGTGAGGATTCATCACAAATAGAGTAAAATATTTCAAGCCATTTCTTTATTTATTGTAGTTTTGTGGTTTACTGTTAAAGATTTCAAATCTCAACTGGCCCAATTTTCCAATTTCAATTGTTCCTTAAATTCATAACAACCTGTTCACCTTAAAAACCGCAGAAACATAATTTATCTGGACTAAAGTCAAGCTGACACACAAGTTGTTCAATTATTGAGAGTTTAAGTGATGTTTATTTGCTACCAGTGAACGTGTGCTAGCAACAGTAGCTTTGTTTACCTCCATTCTTCCTGTTTATTTTCGTCTTTGTTACGTTTTACACCGGAAGACGCTGCAGAAGTTTTACTACAGAACTTTTTTTCCACTTCATCCAGCAGCTCATCCAGGTCATCGTCATCCATGATGAGGTATTCGTCTTTGCCCTGCTAGCTTCGGGGCCGGATCAGCGCTCACAGGCCAGCTTCCATTACCGATCTCAGCGTTCGCCGTTGCTAGGTAACAAAGCGGAACTCGACCAAAGTCTAGAATAAATGTTCTTCAAAATAAAAGCCGAAATCGAATTACACTGAATATTATAGCTTTTGAGATAGTCCCATTGATAAAACAACACATTGTTGCTATGATTAAACATCATAACTGTCCTTAGGTAAAATTAAGAGAAGACATGCGTCCATGTAATGAAGGTCTTCATTATGTGTAGGAAGACAGTTAAATGTTTTAATTGTTTACTTAGATTGGCTTACCTCAGTTCTTTCCTTATTAGGGCTCTGGGAGAGACCAAATATAGAGGAGCAAAGCACTGTGACTTTTAGAATTCAATAATTGGATTGATATTTATAAGAGTATTTTTAGAAATGAAATGATTGCTATGAAATGAAGTGTTTAATATTATGTGAAGATGTATTGTCTTGTTTGTGTATATGTATTTTGTTTTATCCTGCTTTTTGGGGGCTGTGAATTGGTGCAGCCAGGGACTACAAAAGCCGACAGGTTGCCCACATGTGGGTGTGGCTGCTGCGGGAATGCATTTTCCCCCTTTCTAAGCAGGATTGTTTGTTTAAATGTTGGTGATTAAACACCTGGTTGGTCTGCACTACATCTCTCTGCCTCAAGACTCCTCTTTTAAAGCCTGCCGCTAAGGGTCATTCTAACAGTCCAGCTGCACAACATCCAAAACCAGAGGGAGAGTGTTTCATGTCCAACATAAAACACTGTTTAGAAATAAATGTGTTTATAATTTCTTTCTAAACAAAGAAATTCTGAATAAAATATTAAAAACAGAACAAATCAGAACTAACGTGATAGTGATAAAATATTGCTTCAAAATAATGTCGACATGAGCGGTTCAACTAGAACTAAGTTTTAAACATAATCAAGAAATGTTAGACAATTTATATATTCACATAGTATGGAGGAAAATATGCCAGGCAGTCACATTTTTAAATAGATCTAAATTCCAACAGTAAAAGACATTTTCTTTTTTTTTTTTTTTATCATGGATTACTTATTTTTGTCGCAGATTTTATTTTGAAAATCAAACAGAAAATACTGTTACAGATCGATTAGTTGAAAATTCATTTAAATTAACGTACTAGTATCACAGAACAACAGTAAAACGATAACAGTGAAAGAATAGAAGCATTTTCTGTTGTGGGAAAAAGAGAAAAGTTCGTTGTCGGCAGGATTCGAACCTGCGCGGGGAGACCCCAATGGATTTCTAGTCCATCGCCTTAACCACTCGGCCACGACAACTCGTGACGTAAGCCAATAGTGCAACGTTAAAGCCAGCTTTCCAAAGATTGCGTTACAAGTGATAATTGAAACCTGGCGGAAAACCGACTCACTCCAAAAAAAACTTCAGATACCGGTGGGAAGAAAACACCGGTATCGGTAGCTGATATATGATCAGCTTCCTCTGATCATATAAGTCATTCTATAAGTTCTATAAGTCATTCTATATGATCAGAGGAAGCTGAAACAGCTACTGATTGTTGATATGTCGTTCACTAGACTGGATTCCTTTGAACGGCTCTGAACGGTGAACGGTAGAATTCGATTCAGTTAGGCAGAACTGTTCTATTTTTTTTATGACTTTGCTTGAATGATGCTGTGGTAAACTTAACCAGAAAAAAGCGTGAAGTCACCATAACTTCTCATTTAAAATTAATAATGTGATGTTTTAATCAATCATATAAATACAACACATTAGAAATAAATCACCAGAATGTTTCATGTCAAAAGACAAAATTGATATTGGGAGGCTACAAAGAAAAATTGACGCAACAGTACAAGTTTTCACAGGAATATAATTATCATACGTGCAAAAATAATAATCAAAATAATCTTCAGGAAGTTTAAAAGCAACTGCCTTTCTGAGTAGCGTGAATCAAAACCATTCAAATTTAAGAGTTTGTGTAAGATCCTTAAGGTGTGGGCTATGGTTATAGTCAGTGCCTCAAGACCAAGAACACACAGATGTGTCTCCAACGTCGGCTACAACTGTTGAATTCATCACATTGTTAAGCCACTACTGAAGCACAGATGTCACAATTGCTTGAGGTAAAGCGATTCACTGATATGAACAGATGACACTTAGCTGCATTATGAACTTTCAGGGACACTTATATCATTGTTACATCAATGTCACAGTGGTTCTTGCCAGTTAGTAAATTAAGTAATTTTATTATGAGTGTATGCTTAATAAACTGTTTCTGTAGCCCAGGGATCTTTCAGTATTATACAAATATTAGAAGATGTACAGAGCCGACACAAACCCAGACTTAGCTTGTAGTTTTTATTTCAATTTTAATGTAATTTCCAAAAAACCTTTAAAACATAACAAAAAGCACTATAGTGCACATGATTTGTGTAAGAGACTACATCACAGTATTAGCTGCCACCGCGCGTTATCTTACTTCCTTTTTCCATTTCTGGTTTAATGAAGAAGCAAGCGGAAAATTAAAACAGGCTTATGACGAATTTTCCCATTTACGTATCGATTACATGACATATTAGTTTCCTCTGCTGTTGCTTTACTTTCCGAATAGATAAAGCAAATATTTTATTATTTCTTCGGCAAAGTATAAAAACATGCAAGGTTAAATCAGGGCAATAGCTTTCAAAGTTTCAAACCCATAAAAATCCAGAACTAAGATACCAACATTCAAAACTTTCCCCAGAGTTAAATTTGTACACAATGTGGGCGTATATATACGTCTTCACTTTTCAGTTCTGCATTTAAAAGGTTAGTCTGGTTCGCACCTCCTACACAGAGTCTCATGCTTTTCCCATCTGCACAAACAAAACACTCCACAAACTGGAAGGAGAACATGAACACCAAAGCCTGAAACACACTGTGATCAGATCCAGTTTTAATAAATAATACATCTTTCACACCTTCGCACACACACAATGTGAGAACATAAAACTAGAACTCAACCTATAAGGAGCTGAGTTCTGGAATGGCTCAGGAACAGCTTTTACCTACATACAGTCAATTTACTGTAATCCCACAACAATGAACAGAATACATTTCTCAACTAGTGTCAACTTTTTCTAATTTCTTTGTTTAGCACAATTTAAGTTAAACATTTTTATAAAATGTAAAGTAAAGAAAGACTGTTTAGACTGTTTAGTATAACTTTTATACTTATAAATTTTTATAATTTATACCGTTATAATTTTTACTGCTCTTTTTTTCCTTTAAGCAAACCATTTTGTTTGCATGTAGTTAAACTACATGTAAATATATGCTTTCCCCATTCTAGTAAAGTATTTTCTTAAATTATGGGGACAAACTGTGATAAAAATGCTCCAATCTCACAAATTATTTAATTGGATTATCCTGCATACCAACTAAACAGACCTCTTGTTGGTAGATATTAATTACCAGAGTACGGCAATAATACTACATTTCATTACTGTAAAACATATTAGTTGAATATAAAATAAAATAGCGTCCTTGGCGAATGGTTAAAATTCAGCACCAGAATTGGAACATAAACATCAGAACAGCAGTCTGTTAAAAAAAAAAAAAAAAAGAGCTTTACTATGCAATAGATGTTTGCCATGAGAAGTCCTGCGTATGAAGCGGCTAATATTGCATTTTTATTGTTTTGTTAATTGAGGCATTGAGCATCCAAGCAAAGTTTCCTGTGCACCTTTCTGATCTGAACAGGAACAGCCCAAGCATCCCGGACCAAAGTCCCGACCCGCATCCTGGACCCAGCAGACACTTTGACCGTCTCTCCATAGATCCTTCTTCTTTGCTTGCATGTTTGTTGTCTCGGAGGAGGCAGACTCTGTCAAATCTTTCTCAGATAGTCTTCAGACACAAATATGCTGCAACTTGGACATTTTGGGACCCAAAGTGTAAATCAACATCAAGTCCTTCTTTTCCAGCGGCTTGAGCGGCGCGTTCAACGAGATTTCTTTCTTGGCTACCTGATTTCTATCCTTGATTGTATTCTTCAAACATTTCTATGGAGGGAGAAAAGAAAATTCATTTAGATCAGGAGTAAATGAGGATCAGTCACAAATACATAAAAGATGAAAATGAAACATTGTGAAGATACTATTTGAGAATTTTTAATACTTACATAGCTCAAGAAGGAAATGAGAAGTGCGAGCACCAGCAGCGCTGAGGCAAAAATAACCAGGACTTTATCTGCCAGCAAAGTGGTTTCAGGTCCGATGGGAGATTCTGTGGCATCAGCAGGACAATCTGGAGACGGAAACAGAGACAACTGCTTAGAACCTTCAACGTTAGGGATAAATGTAGGGATTATCACAAATTATTCAAAGTAGTAGCAATGGTTTTAACACCAAATGATTAAAAAGGGTTAAAAGCCATCTGGGGCTCCGCATACAACTGTTTCAAACAGTCTAAAACAGTCCTGATTTGGAAATCAGAATAACCCACTTCACCATGAGGAGACTTCTTTTTACCTGGCAGTGTGAGCAGAACTTTTCCCTCCTGGTTCTGCTGTCCCACAGGTGCAGCCAGAAAACACAGGTACACTCCACTATCGCTGCACGTCACGTTGGGCAGGAAGAGGTCAAGGGATTCACCCTGCAGCTGCACTTTCCTGGTCATGTCTTTGTACCATCTGGTGGTGCCGTTTGGGAGGTTTTTGGCTAGAAGGCCGTTGCGCTGATGAGTCGAGTCACTTCCAGCCTGTGAAACCAAGGCAAAAACTTGTTACATGTTTGAAGGAAACTGAGAGATCAGAACAAGAATCTAACACAAGATGTTTAGGAGCAGAAGGAAACACAATCTATTATATATAGTGAGTTACCAGTTCGGTTTATATAACCAGTTTTTCTTAATTTGTTGTTATTTAAGTAATCTATTTTTAGACCAGCTCTGTAATCCTTAATCTGCCCGAGGGTGTAACAATATTTTCTAAAATTTTCTGAAGGCTATTCAAGTTTTTATTGGATATCAGCTCTTCATCTATTTTCAAAGGAGCATTTTACTGCCACTGAACCCTGACTCACAAACTGTCCTGCTTGTAAAAGGCTTCCCAGCTGGTATGCTGAAAACTCAGCAAAAAATCAATTTGAAAAAGGATCTGTAGGCTCTTTGTTACCAATCAGTCATCAGGACACAATTTGTTCCTGTGTGAATCTTTGAAGATGAATGTTTTTTAGCTTTAACAGTTCATTCAGAAAGCCAACAGCAGAAAACGTTCTACAAACTACAAACTTTGAAATAGATCAATTTTCATTTGGGTATGTTATTCTGATTTGACCTATTTTCTTCATTAAATACTTGAGTTCCAGGTTTATTACAGTAGATCAATAAAATTTTATATTATGCTTCCCAGGTTACTGATATACTCAAAACTCATCAAAGAATACATTTCCTTGCTGGTTTAAAAATTAAATCAGCAAAGACTGCTTTTCTGGTAATATTTTATGAGGTCATAAATCAGTAAACAATAAAAGTGTTTGGATCATTAAAGGCTGTCATCTTTTAAACAATCAAAGAACCAGTTATGAAACATTTTTGATAAGTTATGATAATTTGTAATGTTCATGAAATGTGTAATTTTTACAAGTTTTCCTCTAAAGTGTTTCTAACATATCTGACTATCAACTAAACTGTAATCATTACACTAGCAAGCTGAACTCTGAGGAATGAATGGGCTTAATAATAAACAAACTGCAGTAAACAGTGAACCATACCAGCTTAAACAACCAGTTTACAGAATCTACTATCGCTGCTGTTTAATTCTGACTTCTCTGTCGCAACAACAGACAGACCTCAATAATGCAGACTGCTGCTGTTCTTCTAATCTTGCAAGCTCAGTTTTATTTGCCCCAACTATTTCCAGTAACACATGAAGCCTTTATAGGAAATCAAACCGCAACCAGCAGCAGTTTGCGGTGTCGGGTTGTGACAGGCTTGGGTTTTCCCTCTCGGATTGCAGCCCTTGAAGAAAACGTTTGAGCAAGCGGCTGTTTTTACCTTGTACCACCTCACGGAGCTGTACTGGACCCCGGGTATTTGTTTGGCGGTGCACCTCAGGGTCGCGTCCTGATCAGAGGGAGTGGAAACCTCCAGCATGTCTTGGCTGACAGCCCTGCTGGACGCCGAGCTCACTGACGGAGAGGACAGAGGAACACGTCAGTGCGTTTCCCTTTCAGTTTGAGTGACAGAAGCGTGTTCAGATTTTGAATTCAAGAACAGCAGGAGGTTTAACATAAAAAAAAAAAAACTATCAGAAACTCACCCAGTGACAGCAGCAGAGGAACACACAGCAGCTGTGGAGTCATCATGATGAGTAGATTGAGAGACACGAAGTCCAAATAATGTGACAGACAGTCAGAGAGACGCAGACTGACGTGCAGAGAGGGCTGATGTTTCTTTATACCAGCCATGCTCCTCCCACTTCCTTATTGTCACTCTAGAATCTGAATTCACAACTAAAGTGACACAACAGTTGAAACTCTTCATCCCTCCATCCAGGGTAGAGATGAATGGACTTTATTTATTTTTATTTATTTATTCTTTTTATTAGCCAGCTAAAATCCAATCCGTTTAAAACCGATTGTGTTAACGAGTTGGATTCTATCCAGTTGTTTCTTTTTGTGCAACACTTTATGCCCTATAACGTGCTTTATAAATTAATCTTACTTTTAAATATTTGCTTACTTACGATTATTAATTCATTTGGAAGCAACATTGATTTGTCTCATTTCAAGCATGGCTCTTCCGTGTGATCTTAAGAACAAACTCCGCCTCCAGTCAACGCAGCTTCCTGCACCGGCAAAGTCATCTGAACAACAGAGGGATCAGTTTATGGCGTTGCCTTAATCTTTGACGACAGCATGGCTCATTTGATCCCCATGATCGTTGTTACAAGTGAGTATCACTATCATCACAGTGTTTTTTAGCTTTGATTCTCTACATGAATTATTCATTTATTGTTGATTTATTCATTTGCGATTGTCAAATTAAAATCCGCACGTTTCAAACGGGTTTGGAATTTTTTACACATCATTTTGAATTGTAAAATATTGAAAGAGGAAATGACGGAATGTTTGTGTAGAAAACAGAAAATGATAATGATAAAAAAAAATACGGTTCTGAAACATCGTGTGGAGGGAGGCGGTGAGTTGGAGGTGCGAATCAGTTATTATACCGCGATGTGTCTATAATTAAAAACACAGCATGTAAAGTTTTAGGAAACATATTTACGGTTTTATAACAATTATCCTGATGATAATAATAATAATAACATTCGTTAAAGTGAAAGTGGACTCTTCAGGTATTCCCCGTGCTCTCCGTGGGGTTTTTCCACTCTCAGGGAAAAGCATGTAGTAGTGAAATGAAAGCTGTCAGGGAATTCCCACCCCGCAGTGATGCAACTATTTGGTTAGTCAAACACGTGTCGAGACGTGAAAACTTCCCAATATTAACCAGGAACTTAACACAAGTTTCGATACTATCAATAGTAATGAGTTTTTTTTTTAAATCAGAATTGCGAAACAGATTTCCATAGCACCACATGTTTAAAAAAAGATCCTTGTTGATGTGCAGAAGTAGATTGAGGAGAACTGCAGGTCTCATAACAAGCAGCTGCTCTGCATGATATTTTACAATTAATAAGATCTGTGCCTCACTTCTCCTGCATCCTGGACAGGTTCGCCAATCTATAGGGCAACATAAAGACAAATGGTACAATAACATGCATACATAGCTGAGCACAATTTGGAGCAACCAGTCAACCCACCATGAATGCATATATTCACCTTCTTAGTGCAAGTAACAGTTTTACCACTAATACTTTACATTGCAAATAATTTCCTTATATTTGTGGTAAACTTATAGTAAACTATCAGATCTAACAGTCATGAGTTGGATGGTGCAGGGGTTAGCACGCCCCACGTTTGGAGGCCTCAGTCCTCAATGCAGATGTCACGGGTTCAATTCCCAGTCCCAGCGACCCTTGCTACATGTCTTCCTCTCCCTCCTGCCTACTGTCAAAAATACAAGCCACTAGTGCTGCAAAAACTCTTCGGAGAAAAAAAACACATTTACAACTTGCTACTTTTTTTTCTGCTTCCTCAGCAGTTGCCTTGTCGACGAGCAGCAGCTCACCAGTACAGGTCAGAACCTCAAAGTTCTCCTGCTGTGACCGAACTGTGAAATACTCGCATGATCTTTCATGCGATAACAAATGGAGCTCCAATGAAATGGTAAAGCTGGAAGTTTCACTATGTTCACGTTAAATGGTTTTAAACATGCAAACAACTCCTGCTGACATTTCTATAAGAGATGAGAGCTGGATAAATCCTTTTCCAGGTCTGAATTTTTCAGAAAGTGTTTTACTTCCTTCTCTTTTCTGAAAGATAAAAACCTAACAAAGCTTAAATAAATCCAACAGTATGCCTACATTTATATTCACATCCCATATTTTTTCTTAGATTTACTACATCACTACATATTGGACTCTAAATAACTGTAAACAGGCTCAGGGTGAACTGCTAAACAAAGAAAATAGCATTTCCTCGAATTTTTATAAACACAATAAAAACACCAAATTGTACTTTAAAGAAGCAGCATTTGTTCTAAGATACTTTATTCAGTCTTAGACACGTCCTTGATTAAAGAAATTAGGGATTTAAACAAGTCCAGACTGTGAAAAACAGTTCACTATGTTCACGTTAAATGGGTTTAAACATTTAACGTGAAATAGGATCTTTAATCTGTGAAATAGGATTTAGAGGAACTGAAAAAAAAAAATCTGTCCCTAATCTCAGAATTCAGAGGGGAAAAAATCAGATTCCTGAGATTAAAATCTGAATTCTTAGATTAAATTCTTGCCAGACTAACATTCTTGAAACATTTTTTTGAAACTGATATTAATAAATCAGAATATTTTAATTAAAAGAATAACAAGCCAGTCAGTGCACATCATAAACAATTCTTATTTTAAATAAAATCCATGAAAATTTGTTCCTCCACTTTCTCTCCACAACTCACATGTTCTGTTTGGTATTTTCAGAACGTTTTCTGTGTTGCTCTGAAGTAAAACATCAGTTTCTGCTTTTGTTCCTGTAGAACATTGCTGAAATCTCTGATGAGACCAAAACCTGTGAATCTCCATGCAAGGAGATCAATGATGATGGGATAATCCTGGACAGATGTGGGAACCGTCTGACAGTGACCGTCAACACTGTGTGCCATGTACGTTTCCAGCTTTCTATTTTATTTTAATCTAATTCTACCAGGGCTTGAATTTAAAGTTTAATACTTGGTAAGGGGTAAAACGTGTTTTTAACCTTAAGCTCATCTATGCAGGTAAATGGTGACATTAAGGAGACACGTATGACCTTCTATGGCCAAACGTGTTCCCTCTCATTCACCAATGGGATGACAAAAAATAAGAGTAAGTCCTTACTGTGTGTGTGTGTTTTTTTTTTTTTTATTAGACTTCTGAAAGTTTTTATGTGATATTACTGTAACTTATAAAATGTCTTCAATTGCAGATAAATTGACCAAAACAATTGATCAGATTAATCACGAGGAATTTATTTATGAAATAATCGTCAACTAGTTTAGCAATTGATTAATTGTTAACTGGATTGTCGAGACTCAACAATGAATGCAGATGCATTCTCTGCTGTAGATGATCATTAAAGCAATGTTGTTATTGCATTTTAGGCAAGAAAATGTTTATTCCCTTATTTAAGAAAGGAACTGACATGTTTATTTGCATCTTTTATTGTATTTCTAAAATTGTATAAAAAGGCTTACGTGGTCAAATTAAAAATCCGCAGAATATGCTATTTTTCAAATTGATAATTGAAACAATAAATTGTTTCAATCATCAATAGAATAATCTATTATTAAAATAATTATTAGTTGCAGCCCATCATCAAATACATACACTCTTAGACATGCAGAAAAAATGAAAAAAGAAACACAAGCTTAGTCCTAAGTATTAATCCTAATTAAAATTTTTTTTAAAATGATTCCTAAGTTTTAAATGCTCAATGTGTTAAATCTGACTAAATTAAATATCTTTTAAATCTAAATTCACCTGTGGTGGCCTAAGTAGATCCCATTAAATGGGATCAAACAGTTAAAGCTCTTCTGGACTAATTATTATTATTTGTTTTTTAATTTCAGGTTCTGTGGTGCTGCTGCTCACTTTCTTGACTGAACGGCTTCTCCGCTTCTTCAGTTAGGATTCGCCATATCAAAAAGTGTGCAAAATGCGTAGATATGTAGAAAATCAGCTTTTTTCTGACTGCACTCTATCTTCATCTCAGGAAATCTTTCATTCTCTCCAGTTCTTTTTGTGTCATAAGAGCAGTATCAATCTGACAGAAGTCAATTTCTGCATGTTTTTCAATGTGACTTTTAGCGTTTTTTATAATCTGTTTCCAATTTGTGACTGACAGTGCAATGAAATTATCATAACGACTGTAAAAAGATCATCAGATCAAATTCCCTAAGTTAAAGTTGTCCCCAAACTTTGTGAATGTATGCAAAAACACCTCTGAAGAACAAAACACTGGCAGCTGAACTTCAAAGTACTGTGACAGTTTTAGGTGGTGACAGAAAAAAACAGTGTAATTTTGAATGAGCTGTGATTTGGTGGCCAAAAAAGGATCTCGTAAAATAGAGAAGGACTAACTATTTTACTTTTGCACTGAATAGATGGATAGATGGATAGATAGATAGATAGATAGATAGATAGATAGATAGATAGATAGATAGATAGATAGATAGATAGATAGATAGATAGATAGATAGATAGATAGATAGATAGATAGATAGATAGATAGACAGATTTTTATTACACAGACTCAAAGTCCAAATTTACCTAAAAAAGAAAACAAAAACGATAAAGGAATAAAAAGGGTCTTAATTGTTTGATTTTATTATTTTCTGCATTTACAGTTAAAATGTTTACAAAAAAACTGGATCTGCATGTAGTTGAAGGAAGAAGAAGCACTTTACTGGAGCATCAAAGAGCATCTCACAGGTCTTACCTCAATAACAGAAACATTGAACAACTCTTTGACTTTGGTGCAATGATTTACTACAATTGGCTAAATACAGAATATTTTTTATATAGCTGAATGAACATCCAAACTGTTGTTGATCAGGTGAAAAGAAAATTAACACTACAGTTATTTCTGGATTTTTTTAAATTTAGAGAAATAAATAGTTTCTTGCTAAGAAGTTTGGATCTATGTGGTACAGTGCAAACCTAAACAATGGTACAAAATATTATTTAGACTGTTCTCTAAATGTTCCCCATAAATGTGAAACAGGATATCCATATACTGAAAACATTTAATCCAGATTTTAATAAATCAAATAACACATCAAGTACTGTATAATTCAAAAGTGTGCTGCTTGTTTGCAAATATAGCAATATAATATAATCACTTTTGAATTCAGCATTACAAAACTGACATAATGAATGTAAAAAAGTTCAATAACCAGTTAAGCCAGATATCTAAATAATATGCTGCTTTTTTTAAAAAAAATCCCAACATTAGTCTACCATTATAAGCTATTTAAAAACTAATATAAGAAACCATATTTCACTATTTTCTTTTTGTAAAATGTCGTTTGTGTACACATTCCAGTATTTTGTCAGCATCGTTTCTGTTTGTTCATTCCAGTGTTACTCTCTGTTTTTGTTTTGCTTAAATACTGAAGCTTTACTTCTCTTGTTCTACTTTTAATCCATCAAAGCTGCTATTACGTGGATTACTTTAAAAAATTAAAACTTAAATGGTTTAAAACACCCTGAAAAAATTAGTATCGATGGAAAAGTAAGGTCAGTGTTAAATATTGCTAAAAAGCATGCTTATAAAAATATTTAAGAGTTTATGAAACATTTAAAGACTTAAACAAATAAAGAAAAACAGTTAAGATAATGCCCAAGTATCAACACTGAAAAAGGGAGATCGAATTGTAACAATGTCATTACCACTGCTCCTGTCACTATTTATTATTTTTATGTTATTTATTATTAATATTTTTAATATCATACCTTGTTATAAACCACTTTAACCTCAACTTTATTCAAAATAAAATACATATCTGTTAGCTTTTATTTGTTCTCATCCTTAAGTTCTCATTTAGTTTCTTCTCATTTGGTTGTTTAGATTAGATTTTTGTTTTTTAAGGGAATCAGGACTCTAAAAACCAAAACTGTTTTTTAGTTCAGTTCATTTCTTTTCACTGCTAGATCGTAATACAATCAAAAAGGCGAGTTCATGTTTCAAAATTAATAAATGAATATTAAGTATTTAATTTTAATAATTGTAAATGCACAATTACACTTTATTCTAGGTCAAGTGGTTTTCTTAAAGGTTCCGTTTGAAGTTGGACCAGCAGATTTTAGATTAGTTAACACTCTGATGCTCTTTGTTGCTCCAGAAACATCTCAGGTCTTCCTAAAAATCACTCACTCTGGCATTAAACTAAATTACAGTGACTTTTAGTTGTTTTCTAGCAACGAAAATCTATATTACTGAAATCAGGATGGACATAGGAAGTCAAAGTGCCTAAAAAAGAGGTTTGAAATCTAATATTTATACTTTGTCCTTCTTTGTTTTATTGTTATTTTTTTTGTAGTTATTTAATTTATGTTTTAATAATATTGTATCCCTGCACTTTTTTAACTCAGCCAATCATGTATTGATGTCCAAATTATTATTATTTTGTTGTTAGAAAGCCTTCCATATCATGTTCACCACCTGCCAAATATTTCAAATATTGTTTACAATTTTTATAGAGTTGCCTTTTTTCATACTGCGGACCAAGCTTGAACTGTTGCTGTTGCTTGATTTGTTTTGGGAAAATAAAAAAATATTTTTGCACACTCTAAACCACTCTGCATGATTTATTTAAACAACAACCAACCTGATAAGTATGATACTTTAGTGAAACATTTCATAATTTCACTCTTAAATATATTTGACTTGTTAAGTTGTAGGTATGTTTTGGATGAAGATGAGGAATCGATTGTTTGAGTTAGTAAATATGAAACGATTTAGACACTTGACACTGGGGTTAAAATATCAGTTTATTTAAAACAAAAGAAAAACAGGAAAGTTAGACTCTTTACATATATGTACATAAAATGTGTTTCTTTATTTGGAGGAGGAAAAAATAGACAAAGAAGGAATCTCTGTTAAATAATTAAATTTTTCATAAGTTTATATCAACAAATTCAGCTGAATAAATTTGAGCTCTTGCAGAATTTCCCTTTTTTTCTGGCTCTTATGCAACTTCTCAGTTGATCAACTGATCAATTGATTAGTTGATCAATTTGTACCATCAGTTGTGACATCTATTATCGTCCTGAAAGCACAAACAATTTCTCACATATTAATGCAGATTATGACAATAAACTGCAATGTTGGATGTAGAAATTCTGTTCTGTTTGGAGTTTTTTTCAGGCTCAGATGTTTGAGCTTGCGGGTCCTTTCACCAGGCCCTGCTCTTTGCGCATCACCGGTGCATAAATGCCACAGTCCCGCATCTCACAGAATCCCGGCACGCCAGGGAACCCGACCGAACCAGGAGGCCCAACCGAGCCAGGGAAACCACGGGGCCCGCGTGGACCCTCCGTCCCATTTTCGGGTTCTGCTTGGTGACCCTGTTCACCTGGGAAAAAAAAAAAACTCATGGCATTCAGAAAAGGATTTGTGAATCCATTCCAATAATATTTAAAGTTAGTTAGTTCAATATTTTACTAATTTGAAGGAAACATTTTGTTTTCTGCAGTTTTGTGTTGATTTTATTTGGAAATGAGAAGAATCCTACCTCTGGGTCCCTGCGGTCCATCTGAACCCTGCAGGCCTTTACCTGGATCTCCTGTCGTGCCTTTAGCTCCCTTCTGACCTATGGATCAAAATACATAAAGCAGCAGAGGAAAAAAATGGAACTGGGAAAATATGGACATATTCCTTATTTCAAGGTGTGAAAAAATATTTTCTTACAGTCATTTTGTTTTCACTTTTCTGTCACTTTAATGTTTCACATCCAGCAAATTTTGATATTAGACAAAGATACGAATTAACACAACATTCAGTTTTCAAGAAGTTCAATTAATTTAATAAACTACTCAAATCAGCTCAACCCTGAAACTGAAGTGAAGGAAATAAAACATAGCTTAGACGTCTGACTGACTCATTTAATATGTCATAAAGGAAGCCTTAATTTCATTTTCATATCAGTTTATTAGCAGAATCCAAAACATTGAAGTTGCTTCACTTGGTTACTGAAAGTAGATTCCTGATGCAGGAAAAAAGTATTTGACTGCATAGTGACATGATAATATGGTTATTTTTGGATTTTTTTGTTGACATTTTCTCCCTCTATTAAAATAAAATTACCAGAAGAAATTCTCTGTTTATTTTTTGCTGGTAAGGAAGCAAAGCGAAGTGCTATTTTCACTCACAGTGTAAAGTGGTTGAAGCTGGAACTGTGTATCAGAATGATGCTTGTTTATTCTGATCATTGATCATTGTAGAATAGAAAAGGCCTGAACTGCAGTAAGCAGGAATATTTACCTCTTTGTCCCTCAGCTCCTTTTTGTCCCTCCAGTCCTCTCTGTCCTTGAACACCTCTGGCTCCCTTCTCTCCAGCTTTTCCTGCTTTGCCCTGGTTATTAAAAGTAGAAATGTTGGATAAATTCCTCCACAAAGTCGGAAAACTGACTAGAGTCAGATTTTATAAGCCGGCAAAAAATACACAACTGAGGAGAAATTCAAGATATTTCTTCATGAAATTCAGGGAATTATGGGATTATTTTTGCAACACAGCTTAAGCAATATAAACCTAATTAATATATTTTATGTCTTTACTTGCAGGTCACTGCAAAAAAATAACAGAAGCCTTTTTTATATATATATATATATATATATTTTATATATATATATATGTATATATATATATATATATATATATATATATTTAGAAGCACTTCTGCTCTGCAGATCTAGAACAAAACAAATTGGCGATATATCAGTGATGGAAACCTGAAGAAGCACTCACAGCTCTGCCAGGTGGCCCCGCTGGTCCCCGGGCCCCGGGAGGCCCGATCAGAGTCTGGTTGTTGATGGGGCAGCCCTGGGTGCACTTGGCTCGGATTGAGGCGGCGTACTGGGCTAACTGGGACGTGACCACGCCTCTACAGAGCTGCAGGACTTGTTCATCGGTCAGACCAGGACCCTTCAGCACCAAAAACCCAATCAACTTATATTCTGATGCAAACTACTAAACTAAAACCTCAGCAAAATATTTTGTCAATATCTAATCATAAACTATTCAGTCATCTATTTTTTATTTATTTTTTGCTAGCAAAGTGGGATAATAGGTGCAATTATCTGAACAACTTTAGTAAAATGTTGTTTTGATATTTTTCGCCTCTACAGCTTCTGCTTCATGCAGCTTTTACTCACAGCTGGACCGGGAGCTCCTTTTGGTCCCATACGACCTTTTCCACCGGGGTCACCGATTGGACCGCGGTCTCCTCTGGAGCCAGGGATGCCGGGTGGTCCGACAGGACCTGGGACGCCGTTACGGCCTCCTGTGCCTACTGGTCCTCGCTTTGAGACAAAAATTGATTAGAAAGAAAAGGAAGAGTTAATTTAACATCCATAGTGAGACTGTTAATACTTCATTTATCAGTCTGACAGAAAATACAGAATATAGATTTACATTTTCCTTTTCACATAAGGCCTTTAATAATCAGCTCTATTGTTCATTGGAGATCTGATTGGTTCAGGTGATCCAAACAGATCACCCTCTCTACTTTTGAGACAAGGTTTATCAATTTTCTTTTTGATAAAGCTAAAAGTTAACCTAGCTTATGGTTTCCTAAGCTGATTCTGTAGTTATGCTGCTATAGGTTTCAGCAGCTGGAGGACAAACTGACCACTTTTTCTCTCTTTCTGCTTCTTCTACTTTTTAATTTGCATTATTTGTAATAATCAACTGTCAACTTTTTGTTTTCTCTCAGTAATTTTTCTACATCTGGTCTGGTGTTGTGTTTGGCTTCGCTACCAAATAATAGACAATGCTGCCATAAACTAATCAGTCTTTTGGTTTTAACTTTTTACTCTCATGAACATAGAAAATGATCCTACATCAGCTCATCTGTTTCTTTTTGTGTATCTGCTCTGTCTTCTCCGTCTCTCAGTCTGTTGCAGCAGATGCCAGCTTAAACTGGGCCAGGTTCTGGTTCTGCTGGAGGTTTCTTCCTGTTAAAGAGGAGTTTTCCTCTCCACTGTTGCTGCATGTAGTATGTGTGAAGTTTGTCGCTACGTCCAGGAGGAGTGAATACTGTAAGACAATGACTCAATAATATCTTCTAGAAATTTTTTAGACTTTTTTTTTAATTAATTGAACTATTTTTTGGTAACTGAGAGGAATTGGAATGGATGACTAAATGGACTATTGCAAAGTGCCTGGAGGTGACTGAGTTTGATTAAACTTGTTAATCTAGCAGTTTGCTGACTACAATTAAAGAGAAAAAAGGTGTCTTCTTTTAGCTAAACTTAATGAGAATTATTATTTTTTTACTTGTACCTTAAACAAAGCTTTGTTTAAACAAAATGTGAAAGTTTATGATTTAATCACAAAAATATCTCTTTGCTATTTCAGACTCTTTCCGAGAGAAGTGTGCATTTCTGCATTGGAAATTCCCAAATTACCTGTCCTCTGTCTCCATGGACACCTTTTCCTCCCTGAGAGGAGAAAAGAAAAAAAGGAAGAGATACACTATACGTTAAAAAACGAGCAGTATTGGAAAGGAGAAGTGAAATAAAAAACAACAGATCTGTCACATGATGATGAGACATGAAAGTTACCTTTTGGCCTTTCTCCCCCTTCAGGCCTTTCCGGCCTCCTGCACCCTGTGATTTGTAAACAAACAAAGGTGTGAAAAACGTGGGAGTTGAGATTAGTCATACATTTAATAAAAACAACACCTGACCTTGTTACAACCAATAACAGTTTAAAAAAACCTTGAAAAACAGGAAGAACAAGGCGCAAAAATAAATGTCAACACAGACGGGAAATTCCCTTCGAGGCCAAGGGACATTTTTTTTTAGCTACTTGTGGTTTGAAAACATGACTTTTGATACCACATACAGTACTTGCTGTTGCTCAGGAGGTGATCTGATCATCCCTCAGTCAGAAGGTGACTGAATCAATCCCAGGTTTCTCAAATGTTAATGTGTCTTGCATCACAAAGATTAGAATATTAGCTAGATTCAGAGTTGGTCATTTAGTTCATTTATTATTTTGTACTTTACTTGTTTTAGTCTTTCTAAATTACACATTAAATTTAAAAGTTTTTACAATTACTTTTCATGATAATTAATCAAAATGCATAACTGCCAGGATTTTTTTTCCTCTGGTTATTATTTGAGATACAATCTCTCAAAGATCACAGCCTACAGATAAATCCACTTTCATCTCTTAAAACAACATTTCAGCGATCTAGCTTTGTGTCAACAATAGCATTTCTTCATTTGTTTTTTATAAACTTCACCTTCTGTCCATCAGGTCCAGTTTCCCCTTTGGCTCCCTGGAGGAGAAAAATGAGTTAAAAGACGGACATAGTGAAAGGTTTTACATTTTAATAAGTAAAAAGTGTTTGTACATAAAGTAAAACATCCTGTCATAAAACATTTGTAGGCCTCCAGAGTTCAAGAGGATTTGTTTTATTTGGTATAAACTTGAAAAAAAAATTACATGTTATCTTAAAGTACTGTTGTTGTTTTTAATTTCTTTTTAAATTAGTTCTTGATATTTCTTCAACTGATCTTTCCTTCCTATTACAGTAAAAACTTTGTAATTAATGACCTAATAAGAAATAATTTGGATTTGAACTTGATTAGTTCTTGTTTGTATTGTGTACGTACTGTTGGACCCTGCAGACCTTTGGGTCCATGTTTTCCTGGTATTCCAGCATCTCCAGGTTCTCCTTGAGCTCCCTGTCGGAAAAACAAATCCAATAATGTTGATTCTTTATTCAACATTAGTTTTAAGAGCTTAAGAAATCATTCATCCCCATCGACAGACCTTTGAAATCTGGATAATTTATTATAGTAACATTACAGAGGATTAAACTGTAGTGTAACAGTTTGAAAGAAACGTAAATTACCACAGTGACCATAATAAAATATCGAAACAGATGAGAATTAGGGTATTTTTTGGGTTGTATTGTGAAAGAAAACTGGAGAAGAAATAAATTGAAGAAATCACATTGAATTTAGTTTTGAATTAATACTGACAGTCCTAGTATGTCAAATATAATACCAGCCTGAAATTATTAATTATGAACAAACTCATTGACAATAGCAATCTAAATACAAAATCTTGTAAAATAATTTATATTCCATTAACTGTTGCACATTTTATCACATAAAAACCACAAACTCAATGAATTTTGTGTAATGGCCCAGTCAAAGTCCAGACAGGCTCATTTCAGACTGTGGTTATTCTGTTAAGATTAACGGTCACAGATGCTGACAGACGCGCTCCAACAAATTAGCTCAATCTGACTTAGCTTGAGCTAATTTGCAGAGAAATATGGGCAAATGTTTCAGCCTGTATATGCACAAAACTAAAACAAAAAGACGTTCATACTTCTACTTCAAGAGGATCTATAATGCGGTGTTCAGTTTACATTAACTGTAAAAAAATGCTGAATCATTTGCTGCCAGTTCAAAAGAAAGCAGAAGCCTGGTGGGGAATTATTTAGAGTGGTCTGACATTTGAAATACAGAAGTCTTGGTAAAAATATTTCAATATATAAAATAGTGAGTCACTTATTGAAATCAGCTAAAAGCTTTAGTTAAGTTGAAAGACATAGTCCTCTTTATGGGAAATAAACATACTGGACAGTGTTTGTTGTTTTGGTCTCTAAGGGGAATACCCTTTCTGGTTTCAGAAAACGTCACTGGTTCTGATGTAATTCAGACCAAAAACAACTGCTGACCACTACGCTTTGAAAATGTCCAACACATTTTATTAGTTTACATCTATAAGAACTTCCCTATTAAACATTTCTGTTTTTACTTGGGTTATAGGAACTCTTGTAAAAAATCTTGTTCAATCCTATTGATCACTTTAAATCTGTTTGCAGTAAAAATAGTTGGGATGATTACACCAAAAAAAGACAGATTTTAGATAAAGATAACATACAATAGTACATGATACAGACTATTTTAGCTTTATTTGGTAAGTTTTGCATCCCTTTATGTATTTAGTTTATTTTTACTATAATGTACAAACTTACAATACCACTTACAATACAGTAAAGTACTTTATAGTCTGGGAAAACTAAAAATGTTTTTTCCCAGACAGAACATTTTTAGCTCCTATCTGGGAAACTAAAAATTCCCAGACCGGTGTTCAGTGGAGTTCATTTGCTGAAATGTTTAGCAGTTTCTAAAAGTTATTCTTGGTTTTTCTGCTAACAGCTGGATGAAATGAATGTGTTTTCAAATTATTTAACACTTGCATCTGATTCAACGTAATTTAAAAAAAAAAAAAAATCACCCAGTCAATTTGGTTAAAAGTTTTAGAGTTTTTGTTTTCTTTTCAAATGAAAGGGAGTTTATTTTCACTTCCTAAGACTAAAAGCAGATGTAAAGAATTCCCTAAGAATCCTGACGCTGAAGTTCAACTATGTTATTCAGGGGAAAAAAAAGGAGAAAGATGAAAAGTGAACAAAACAAAAGACATAACTTCTCTGTTATTTCTTAAGAACCCAACGTTTAGTACGGAATCAAAATTATGCATACTGGCTCAAATATTTACATACAATTCTACTAATATTTAATCATGTGTTTATAAGTTGCAGAAACTCAATGTATTTCAAACCATAATTTAATCATTGTTATTAAAAATGGTGGGAGTTCTGAGTTTTTATGCAAAAATTAAATAAATAAGTAAAAGAAAAAAAAATTCTTAGTATTTAATCGACTAATAATCGACAAGAAATGGCCCATTTCAGACACTGGCTAATTGATTTATGCTTCTATACTTGTAGTGGTTATACTTCGACTCTTGGTTTTATTTATTTTTCTGATAGAAGCAGTAACAAAAAATAACCTGAAGTAATTTAAATAAAGAAAGTAACAGGAAGAGAAAGCAGAGGGTTTAGGGCATCTAAGGTCTGGGAGATAAATGTTTGTGTGCAGGACAGCGACGACAGGTGGAAAAACAAATTTCCTCTGTATTTGGCTGAATATATGCTCCATTAGAGAGTCAATAAAATAGAGGACATTGCAGGTGGATCATTAGTGGGGAAAAAAAAAAGAAAACACACAGACTCAGACTCAGCAATTATAAAAAAAAAAAAACCAAGAGGAAATCATTACAAGTGTTCATTGTTTCTCCCTGGGAATTTCTCATGAGTTGTGCATGTTAACGTCTCCTACTAAGAGTTTGATTAGACTTAGACTTAGACTTGACTTTATTGATCCCTTGGGAAGACTCCCTCAGGAAATTATATTATATTATGTTCGAAGTACTAGAAACTCACCACTCTGCCCATTCTGCCCCGGGGTCCTCGAACACCACGATCCCCTTTACTGCCCTGCACAGGAAGGGAAGCAGTGAACAGATTTAAACATAACCTAGGCAGGTTTATAACAACTAACTTAGATTTACTGTAATGTGGAATTTATTGCTTCCTTCCTTCCAGAAATTACTCAGTTTTGACAGGATGCCAAGCAGATTTGTATAGACTTGTGTGACAGGGAAAATAAAATCCACATCAATAGCGATGGAATATGATACTATCTGGGTTGCAACACAAAAAGATTTCTCCAGAGATCAACTGCAGACAGTGACTAAGAAAACGAGGATTTCAGATTTACTGCCATCCTTTTCCTCAGAAAGAGGATGACAGAAAGAAAACCACATGGAGGATTTCCCTGCTGAGTGATTTTAAATCAAGAAGTGTTTTGCACCACAGCTGACAGCCTGAGGAGATAAAATGATCAATTATCATAAATAAATGATCTAAAGTGCCATAATTATTTGATTGGCATCAGACATATTTTGAGTTACCTTGACACCAAATGGCCCCGGTTCTCCTACCACACCTGGGACTCCTATTGGACCCTAAGTAGGCCAAGCGAGAAGAAAAAAACAATCTTTACAGTAACAACAGATGATGATACCTTTTCTATGACTTTATGGCCTTAACCCACTTACATCCTCCCCAGGGTCGCCACTGCTTCCTGGAAAGCCACCCAACCCTTTAGAGCCCTGGGTAACAAACGGGAAAGGAGGACAATGAAGAAGAATAGACATGATATACAAGCTATTTAAAAAAAAAAAAAAAAAACAGAAATCCAATCATAAAACACAAAAACTAAACCACTGGTGATGTAATTACTTTGGCAAGTAAAGATCAAGGCCAACTATAAATGAACATCATAAAATGGGTCTTAAGATAAATGAGTTAATCTCCATGTGTTAGAATAAGTTAGGACAAGGTTTTCTCAAAAACCTTAATCCACTGTCATCAGTGTCTTTGGTTTTCATTTGTTTTCTGATTGTTTATGAGTTTTTTTATTGTCGTCAATGCCGTTTAGGTCTTCCTTATCAGTTCATTCCCCGGTGTTCTTTATTGTGATAATTCGTCTCTTATCAGTTCATTGTTTTGAGCTTCTTACTTTGATCCTTTCCTGACCGTAATATGACAGAATGTGTTAAAGCTTACGATGCTACGTCTTCTTTTTAAATGTTACTAAACACATTTTGATGATAGCATGACTACTGTCAGAATTAAAATCAATATTTATTTCAGCATCTGCAATCAGCCTTGAAGATCCATTGATGAATGTAATGTCATTAAAGTTATATTTTTTTTGACACTTACAGTGACTAATTAACTGTACCAGCCTGGTAATAAGCTGTTTGATTAAGGTGTGATAGAACAAGGAAACATCTAAAAGCTTTATGGTAAAGTTGAAGACCACAGAGGTAGATAGAACAGGATAAATATCAGAAGATGAATCAATCAGACTTTATATTGAGTTTGTGCGTGTGGCTGGTTACCCATCAAGTTGAAACTAAATATTTCTTCAAAAATAAAATGAATATAGTAAATTAAATAAATAAATGACAAACTTTAGAATGTGGTTTTGATAAATAGTGGTTATACCTAATGCTTACACATATTAGCTGCAGAGTATATCTGTAACTAGCATGCTGATACAAAACAAATGTAAAAGTGAAAATGTTGAAAGAACACCTGTTGAACAAAAACCAAAAGTAAATTTAACCAGACCTCATTTCCCATACATTTTTGCTTTATTTATATTTAGTTAAACACAACAATCCTGATCTTATAATCTCTGACATTTGGTTTCAGTTTCAGTTTTTTTATGTTGCTCTAAATGAAGAATAACATCCGGGAAAACCCACAGTAATCCCTTCACAAAGTTCCTGAAAAATGAGTCTGCTGGAGAACCAGTTAGAGACAAATACTTTTTTATATCTAGGGAAATATTACACAGCACTGACCGTACCTATAATCATAGAGATTATAGGTATGAGTTTCTAGGGGAACTCCAGAAACGAATGGAGTGCACTTCAGACGGCGTTACACAAAACACAATATACTTGTTATGTCTGGCATGAATTCACTTTCACTCTGACGTCGTTAAGCTTTTCTTACTAGCATACATACATCACTAGTGAAGAGACTAGTGATGTATGTATGCTCTTATATGTCATTCTGACATGTAAGGAAAAGGTCAAAAAGCTTTTGGGGGCATTTTTACTACTTAAACTGGACATTTCAGGGGCAGTTCTGTTTGTCATTTCATTGAACCAAGATAATTTCTGAACTTTAAAGTAATTCACATGATAAAAATGTCCAGTCTTCAACCTTCAAAGGGGAGTTATACTCTGACTAACATGCACTATGTTTCAGTCATCAGATAAAACAACAGAAAACTCATTTTCTCTTTCTGTGTCAGTTGACACAGGAAAAGAGATTAGATAAGAAGTGGGACTTTCTCCTTTGTAACAGCAATCAAACAATTCAAAGTTGTTCTCTGACCCAAATCTTGTGACTACTCAAATTGCCCATATGTTGTATTAAGATATGATGTGTTAAAATGTGTGTAATTTTTCTTACACTACCTTAAATTATATTTAAAAACAAAGCATAATTTCTTCTTTGATATTGCATCACTGTGAAATAACCAGGTGAAAACAGCTCAAAAGAAATGCAAAATGGTGACACACCAACCTTTCTATTTCCTCCCTGAAGTTATTAATACTAATGTCTGTTTTATGAAAGTGAAAATCTCCAAAGAGATGTCAGCAGAAGTTTTATATGATACCCACATAAACTCCCTAAATGTTAGATGTGCTTTCATCCTCAGTGAGTAGTAAAATGAAAATACAGGAACTGTATTCGCTGTGATTCTGTACCTTTGGTCCATTTGGCCCAAAAGGTCCTGTTTGCCCTGGATAACCCTGAAGAAGAACATCAATTATTAAAAGTGATTCACAGATGGGAGAACAAAGGAGAAATTTGTATTCTCTCTATTGATGCTCAACTATATTTGGGAAGTTCAACATAAACAAAAAAAGGAACAAAACATTCTTTCACTGATAGTTGTAATGCAAACAAATTAAAGGGAAATTTTAACTGAATAGGTACAATATTATGTAAATGCTCAGTGTGTAATAATTAGAGACGTGTTTCCATGTCTCTAACCCTATAAAGAGGGTTTTATCTTACAGCGTTGCCTCTCTCTCCAACGTCACCTGGAAACCCGGGCGCTCCTGTTTGACCCTGAGAGACAAGATTAAATATTTGATTTAGGAGACTCCTGCTTATTAGCTAGCTATGTTTAGATCAATAAATGTCACTCATTTTAGAGTAGAAATAAGCTCGGATATTAAATATTTTCTTAAATATACATTTATTCATAGGATTTATATGAATTCTTGAGAAAAACCAATACTGTCTCTAGTGTAGATGTTAGAGTTTTGTTATTTTACCTTGTTTCCATCTCTTCCCTGAGGACCCTGCTTACCCAGGTCACCACGAGAACCCTGAACAAAAAACACACAAATGACAAAACAAACTATTCAATTAATAGAAACCAAAAGCATTCATTGTTTTAAAAATGTATTAACAGAAAATGAATGGATTAAACATCTTCAAGATATGTAAATTCAAATCATTTCTAAACATTTTCTAACACTTCTATGCAAGATTTTTTGATTTTACATCAGTATTACACGTAAAAAATGCATTTGTATCTTTTTAATATGTTTCCAAATATAAATATATGCTGCAAATAGAACCATACAGATCAAACACTCTGGTACCTTGACACCTTTACCTCCTCTCGACCCTGGAGGACCTGGGTCACCGCGAGATCCCTGAGATAAACCAGTGATGAAATTAAATGTTAACAAGGTAAGTGATAATTCTTTGGTTGTAAATCACAAACTCGGCTAATTTGAAAAGTTTTAAGTAACAACTAAAAGAAATGAAAGGAAAAACATTGCAAATGTGAATTTAAATATTAAAGAAATATATTTAAAATGTAGTGCAGTTGATTGTATCATAAGACTTTCAGTAGTGCTTCAGAGTGCTTGAATATGACTTATAACATATAAAAAGTTTAGGCAAAATAAAATGAGATCACATGAAGCTGAAAGTGAAAGTAAAATTGAATCCCAAAAGAAGGCTGTTTATTACAACAAAGCTTCAACTTGAAAGATCCTAATGTGATTTGATCCCACTAATTAACAGCTGCATCCGCTGCTGGCCAGTAAAACCCCCCAGTTCACCACCAGCATCTCTTGCCCTTCTCCGTTTAGTGTCAACAGAGCAACAATTATGGCGGTTGGTGGTGAAGCAGGTTCTGGGTGGTTTCCAAATCCGTTTCGGTATCTGTCACTTTCTGGTTTACCTCATGACAAAGTAAGATCTTTTACCTGCATCAACCTAAACATGTATAACCACTGAAAAGCCAGAAAGGTCTCAATTACTACGAAAACAACTTTGTTTCATCAAATAATCACTCTACGGCACAAAATGCATCTGTAATCAATACAATACAATTTTGATTTTATGTTTTGGATGTAATGATGTTATTTAAGAAACTTAAAAAACATTAAAAAAAAATTATATCCTCAATTTTTAGCCAACAGACTAAATGTATCTGTGGAAACAAATTTCAAAGAAATAAAGGCGACTGGAAATCGTTTCCATTTCAAACTTTCCCCAGTTAGGCAGCAGATTTAGTTCCTTACAGTCTCACCAGCAGCTCCTGCTCCTCCTCGCGGGCCCTCCATACCGACATCACCCTAAACAAAAACAAGACTTTACTGAAGTATTATTACAGAAATATGAATAAATTTAATAAATATGAATAATTAATTTCATGTAAAATCTACATGATTCACCACAGTTTATTATGGAGTACCACAAGGATCTGTATTCTCACTGTTTATTAGTTAGCATGATTATTGTCTTTTGCTGTCTTCAATAGACTTCATAATAGATGGTTCTTCTCTGCCACTTATTTTACATACGACTTTATGGTTTTTATTCATGAACATATTGGAGAAAAAATGTTAAGCTGGAAAACTATCGGCTAATCATTCCACACAATCTTTGAACTATTTTTAAATACTGGCAAGTACCTCCCATCCTTTCTTTCAACGCTTGTCCTTAATGGGTAAGGTCATACCTAGATAATTTGGCTTTTATTTGAAGACATTGTAAGTGGGAGGTAAATGTGTTTACCTTCAGACCGAGCTCTCCACGCTCACCTGGGTCACCCTGAGGTCCAGGTTCTCCCTGAAAATCAGTCAGTTTGTTTTCTCTTCTTTATCAAACATTTTCACCTTAAATAAAGTCCTGTGAAATAACCCAATTAAATATGTTTACTTAAGTTTACATATCGTCAGACTCAAACTGTGCTAAGCCATCGCCATGGTTTCCACTAAAAAACTGACCATCCCGCCAGAGAAACCAGAAGCTCCTTCTTCTCCTTCAGGTCCAGCATCACCCTGCAAAGGCCAAGAACAGTCAGAACAGAAGAACATAATATCATTTTGTTCTTCTGCATAGAGATACACTTATTTTATTTTGTTTTGAAACTTTTTGTTTTACTTTTTCCATATTCAAATAAAATCTTTTAAACCTGGCAACTAATTTTCTTGCATCTGATTCAGTTTGGTTTCTCTTTTTCTCTTGACACAAACAGTCTTTGATATGTTTACTTCTGGTTTCATTTTCACCTGAAGTTTTAAAATCTTCTTTTACTTTCAGTTCATGCTTATTATGCAAACAGTGGTATTATGGACTAAAGTCATTATTGATGTGCCACAATCCATTGCCTCTGCTGTTGTATAATTTACTTACAACAGGTCCAGTGTCTCCTCCTTTTCCCCGAACTCCTTTCGCTCCTTTATATCCCTAAAATGAACAGCATACATTGAATCCACCCTCATTTCTGCGTCTTCTGTCTTTAGGAAACAAATTATAGCATGGATTTTAGACTCACCTCTCTACCTTGGATTCCAGGCAGGCCAGTTTGACCTGGTAGACCTCTGGACCCCTGGCAAATGGACAAAAACATGACATATAAACTAAACACTTGTACAATGAAATCCAGGTAAATTTAATATTTGGGAATAAATAAAGACAAAGAAGCTTCAAACAATATTTAAAAAGTAATCAGATCCCAAAGCTGCTCCTTCAGTTACGGAAATCTCAAAATGTTTGATCTATTTGGTTTAAAAAATTATATATTGTTTGAAACTAAATCATTTTATTTACCAGATAAATAGTTTCCTTCAAGAAGGAATGACAAAAAATAGGGATTATTATCAAATGTTTTCCTATTTAAATATTTATTGGTGACCTAAAAACATCCATAATTGGAAATCAGAGACACATTTACTTCTTACAGAAGAATAACTCTTTGGTTTTTCTGTTGCTATAAGCAGGCTGCAGTTTACAATAAAGAAATTAAAGTGACTTGATGCAATAATTTTATACCTTTGGTCCTGCAAAACCAGCAAAACCGGGCTCTCCAGGTTCACAGTCACACTCAGTCGGACCCTCCTGTCCGAGAGCCGCATCGCCTCCCGATTCCTCCTGTGAGGAGTCTGCGTCCGGTCCGGCTGGGTATTTAAAAGGCACCTGGAAATAAAATCATTAAAATATCAGCAAACTGTCACAGAGGCCATAGAAGACTTCCTGATTCATTTTACTTAAAAAAAAATCTGCAGCAAAGTTAAAATGCTGTATTTTGTTTAGATATATAAGTGTAATACTACCTGACATTTATGTTTATTGATGTATTTAAGTTAACATTTATTTTTCAAAACCACAGTAGGAAGAACAATGCCCTGCTGCAGATTTTATTTACATTAAAAAACAAAATTACCAAAATTATGTGACTGAAAAGATCAGAATTTGCACTTAGTTTGTAACAAAAGAAGAATAAAACTTCATTACGGTGTGCAGTACTACTTTGGTTGACTGTGGCGCCTACTAGTGACAAATTATAGACATTGCAGAGGTATTTACACCCAGAATAGAAGAAATATAAATATTTTTTAGTGTCCAATATTGGGGAAATTTTTGTGCCACAGCAGCAGAGTGACAGGAAGTAACAGAAAACAGACTCACACAAAGACAGAATAAAATAATATATATGAAACGGAATGAAGAATAAAGAAATAATGCACAATATTCCTGGAAGTAAACAGTTGTGCTGAGGCTTCATTATTATTTTGCATTGCAAATATTTTTGCATATATTTCAATGCAATGCTACAAAACTTAATGTCATAAGAGTGCAAGGCTTTCTCTTTTTTAATTGATTTGCAGCATCTTCACCAAGACTTATATAAGTTCATGAGAATACGACACAAATATCGAACAAATTAAATCCTGTTGTTAGGATGTTCCTGTCTTACCTGCATGGTCTCAGTGTCCTCCTTCGCGTAGTGGGACTCTGTGGTCATGGGGAAAGGAAAGACGTCTTCGGTGAACATAGTAACGCTGGGTGGGTCATAGTCCTCCTCCACTAGCTGTTGTTCTTCATCATAGATCTGAGTGGGCTCAAGTTGATGCTCTAGAAAAATCAGTAAATCACAAAACTTCAAAGATGATTTGCTCACTCCAGCCACTGCTGGTGAATAAAGACTGATCTTAACCGTTGGTGGAGTCCTACCGGATCGACCAGAGCCTTTGTCGTTATAGTGGTCGACTGCAGACGACTCATAGGTGTGCTTCTCACCTGCAATAAATGGACATCAGATTCAAGTCACCAGGTGAAATGATGCATTTGTGCATCAGGTATTTGACAAAAATTATTTAAATAACAGCTTATTTCAGTTTGCAACCTAATCCGGCACGATATTAAAGTTGCAGCTTCAGTGATAAAGTAGTGGTTGTCCGAAAACTGGCTGGTTTAAAATGTTACAATTTATAACAAAAAAATAAAAGAAAAAGTGAAATCTGAAGATCGTTTTGTGCTTAATTTAATTTTCACTCATGCAAAAATGCTCTTGAGTTTTCTGAAGAATTGAATAAAATTTTTGTTTTGGATGTGGATCAAGTTAACTTGGTATTAACCACTGGTTGCTACACAGGAGACTGCAGTCAGGTATAAACAGTGAGAGCAGAAAGATGATTTTAACCGGAACATGGAGCAGGTCTGACCTGAGAGGTATCCAGAGTATTCATCCTGGCAGAGAGACGAGGTGACACACAGCACCAGCAGCAGAAGCCCTGAGAGGAGGGAAACCTGATGAAAACACAAATTATTTAATATCTACAAACCATACCTGCTTGGGACCTTTCAGCTGAGTCATGTGATCACTGAAAATCTTCAAATTGCTGTGGAAGTGGACGTACAGAAGGTCTTTTAACCCACTCAAGAGAAAAATATTGACTATAGTCGCATTTTTTTAGCTCTTTTAATTATTTTATTTCACTGATGTGAATGTAGAAATATTAACCTCCTGTATGGGTCCTTTGTGAAACAGCTCCACTCTGACCAGCTTACTTTTTATAAAAAAGACACCAAATTCAAATTGTTGCAGGTCTAAAATAAGGCTGAGAGGCTAAACTGGTCCAGTTTATCAGGACCGTCTACTGAAACCATGGTGGTTTTAGCCTGTAGATGTGACTCAGGCCACATCAGGGTGAGAACTCAACAGGCTGAGGATTCTTTGTCAGGATGCTCGAGTTTTTCTCAGACTCGTCTGACATTCCTGAAGCTACACTGTCAGCCTGAAGATCAGTCAAGGAAAAGCTCTAAACTATAACCACATACACAGCTGATAGACCTGAACACAAAGTCAATAAACAGATGATAGATGAGGATGAAACCTTAACCACAACTTCCAGGTGTAAATCTCACACTCAATTTAAGGAAGCTGGGTTGAACAAAAATAACAAATACAAGTTATTTTAACCTAAGCATCATTTAATTAAATTCCAAGTTGTTTATTATTGCAATACACAAGAACAAGGGATACCTTCTACCAAGATTCAATAATTGAACAACATTTAATGCAGTATTTAAAAGTCTGTGAGATAAAGAATAGAGCGGTCAGAGTGAACCAACAAGCAGAGGAATCTCTGGGACACTCAAGTCAAAACATCCTCATTGGAAGATACAGTATATTGTATTCATTTTATTTTAGTTTAATTATGAAAAAAGTAATAAAATCTGATAAATGTATCAAGATGCATACTTCCTTACTGAACTTATAAAAAAGACAAACCAAGCAAAGTGACTTTCAGGAAACAGAGAAACTTCTAGAATAGCAGACAAATTAAGGTTAGAAAAACTATTCTTAGCAACAGGTAAATATGTTTATGTTCTCTCAATATAATAAAAATGGTAATTCAGCAAAATTATCCATGACTCTTTGCATGGGGATTTAAAATGTTTTAAACTTCTGAAGAAATGATAACTTCTGAAACCTATTAGAAATTACTTCTAGGATCACATGAAACCAGTGAAGCGTTTGATCTAAAGGTGTTGCAAATCTTATTTTTCTCCTTTTTAAAATGATCTGGCAGATATTTTCAATTTCACCAATAAAATGTTAAATTTGCTTGTTCTACTCTCATCCTTAAAAGTTCTTCACACAACAGCTAATTGATTCAAGAAGAGAGCTAAGTTTTTTCTCTAAACATCTGATTAATATACTTATTTTTGCTCATCCTAAACAAAGTTTACTTGTAAAAAGAAAATGTGTACTATATAGATTATTGAATCTAAATTGGCTTTATAATACAATAGCAGATAGAGCAAACAAAGCCTAAAGATATCCTGAACTGTTTCCTCTCACCTTATCCCTGGAGGCTCCCATGGCGTCTCCTCAAACCGCCCCAGATGTCCAACAGGATGTTTGGACAAACTCAGTCGGCTCTTCACCGTCACAGCATTATCTCTGGTTTGACTCTAGCTGCCTGCCTCCAGGATCCGTCGGGCTCCCAGGTTCTGACGGGATCTTCTCAGTTTTCTACCTCTGACTTCCCAACAGGGTGAGAAATACCAGATCCAGAAAGCAGCTTCAGCTTGAAGAACCATAATCTCTGGATTAAATCAGATGCACTTCCTTAGTTATCTAAGAAATTATCTAATTATCTCAGATTAACTGAATTTGAATTCATTATGAATACGTAATCTGAATTTCCGATTGAGCCACACTGGAATGAAGAGATTTGATTTAAAATTAAACCCAACTGGATTTAATTTCAAGTCTTAAAATTAGTAGTGAACTGGAAGCATCCCAGGTTGATAGTTGGAAAACATACAAAAATAAAGATAAATATGTAGTGACATGACTTGCGATTAAAAAATAAAGTATTGATGTGTTTCTGGTTTGGGTTTGCAGCAAACACCTCAGAAAATAAGAAATCTATTAATTAAAATGTCTTATTTCCATCTCAATAAAGTTTTGTTGAAAAATACACTTTTGTCTGGCATCTGTTGCATTTTATGTCTTTAACTTTTTTATGATGTAAACATATTATACAAGTCATTATATAATGACAACCACGGAGAGCTTGAACTCAAGAGTGTTTAAATAATTAGCTGACCCATACTACAATTCATCACAATAGCACGTTGCTTCGTTAAAATGCAATACCCAAGCTGCAAAGATAGAGGGCGCCGCAGTGCAAACATTTTTCCAAAATGATTAATTTGTCAGTTATTACACTCTACTCCCATATTTTATATTTCTTGTTTCATACAAATAGAAAAAAATATTTGTTGAATGACTCTGGAAATGGAAGACTGTTGTGAACATATTAATAAATCTAAAAAACTGACATTAAATCATGAGAAAACATAATTAAAGGTTGTTTGCACAAATCTTTATTCACTTTTTTTCCCCCAAAAATCAGAGTTGGCCAATAGACTGATGACAGCAGCATATTTCAGCTGTGAGAGCCAGCGTTCTCACTTGTCCTTCTCCCTGTCATCTTTCTTTTTCTTCTTCTTCTTCCTGTCATGATGGTGGCCGTCAGGGGATCGGGAATCCCTGCCAAGAGCACATTTTGAGGCACAAAAACATAATTCTCTTTTATGAACACAAAGTACCCAAAACATGTTCTTTTCTAAATGTTTATAAGTAAATGAGAGACATATGAGGGTTTAATATGACATTTCTTACCTCTCCTTCCTTTTCTTCTTCTTCTTCCTGTCTTTGTCTTGGCTTCGTTCTCGACTTCGTTCTCTGCTACGATGGCGCTTACTGGGCAAATGGTGCGACTCTGAGGATTTCGATCGTCTTCTATCCAGCCAGCGGCTGAAAACGCACCATTTTATGTCTTTGCAACAGTGATTTATTTATTTACTGAAAGAAACATTGTTTTTATTTACCCAGGAGGAGATTGAGCAGATCTATATGAGAGCTTCTCATCCTCGTCCTCCTTCCACTGTCTGGCGAGTTCCTCTGAATGGACACTGATCACCTCTCTGATCACCTGCAGAATGGTAAACATCTAACTTTAGCTTTTTCAACTCATCATTCTTTATTTTTTATAGTTTTAGTCTTTTCATCCAGATTTTGTGCACTTTTCTATCAGCTTTGACAGAAGTTGATTACAATGAATATTTTAAAATCAATTTATCTTTACTCTATTTAAATGAGCTTGAAGCGACTCCAATAAATACTGTTTGCCAGCAGGAATCCACTCAGTTATTTCAGTTTGATCAAGATCTCAAATCATATTTTATGCAAATTAACAGAATTCAAGAATACAATCAATATAAATTCAATACGACAGATAACATAATTAAATGTGAGAAGCCAGCTTTTGTTATTTTGTAATATTTGTTATTTCAGTCCTTAAAATACCAGAATTTGCACAGAACTTTTTATTTTTGACTAAATGAGTAAGCTTTAAATCAGCTTTATTATTTTAGCAATCTGTTATTAATCAAAAAAAGTGTTTGAAACAAGCATAGGCTTGTAAAAATATCTAACTGACTGCTAAAATGTTAATACATCAAAAAACATCAGACAGATGTGTGAGAAAAAAGTTATATCACAAAGAAGCAAATTAAAGCTTTTATGATGAGCTGATTTAAAAAATTAAGAAATTTAAGTTGCATTTAACTGGAATATATGAGAACACTTCAGTCAGTAGAAGATGGCAGGATTTACCTCAGTGTAGGATTTCTTAGTGATGTGGACGTTCTTGGCTCTGTAGGACTGACGTCGCCTCTTGTAGTCCCTCATCTCTGCCATCAGCTCCAGGTGACTCTTTGGCTCATTCTGCTGTTCATCTGAACCAAACAAACACAATCAGCTATCCAAGTCTTCTGGAGGAGAAGTGAAAAATGTTCCATTTATGCTTTAGAAGACACTAGCAGTGTTGAGTGATGGTCACCTTTTTTAAGTTTAGAAACCAAATCTACATAGAGATCCTCGTTGGAAGACGCAGCCTCACTCTGCTGGCCGAGGACGCCGACCACATGATCGTAAAGAGCCAATCGGTCTGCAACAGTGAGGTCACACACCGCCCGCTTGTGGTTCTGTGGCACATCGACGGGCTGGCCAGAGTACTGACCTGATGAAGGACCACAGAGGTTTTACACTCCAACAAAAGACTCTCACCTACCAGGTGGCTTCTGACACCAACAATACATATCAGATAACCAATTAGGAATTAATATATCAATAGAAAAACATACTGAAACGTGCAGAATTTTGTTCATTTGGCACAAAATTTATTTATTTTTTTGGTTGAAATTAAGGCCAAAATGAGTGTTTGTCACAATCAGTGTAAACCTACAAACACTCACACTCAAAGGATTTGGAGTTTGCTCTGCTAAAGTGAAATAAGCTCAACTGGTTCTGTTAAAGTCATGTGATAGATTAGGCACGACATCTTCTACACCACTGGTGCTTTATTTCATGACACCACTGGATGTCGTCAAGAGTTTGAAAGCGTTTTACACCTTGAAGCATTCGTCAACAGAGTGTGCAGGATGCTTTGAATAAGTCTGTCACAATAATCAGTTAACTGCATGATAAATTAATAATACATATTGATGGTTAATTTTTGTAGCGTAATTTTTTTCACACAGGTATAAAAGTCCATTTTATTTACGGTTTCGGTTGTGTGGTTTTTGTTTCATTTTTATTTGCAAAAATACGTACATATATACTTATATTTGGTTGTTTTGTCTTATTTTGGAAAATGGTTTCCAGTTCCAGAGTGAAATATTTGATACGAAATTAAAGCTTTGTAGTTTTTGAGAGGGCAAACTTACAATATTATGCCATTATGCACATAGTAGTTGAAAATGGTCTCAAAACAACAATTATCACAATAATTTCCGGGAAAATTTGTAATAATTTAAGTTAAATTGTTTTCTGGAAGAAAACATTAAGCTCAGTTTTGAGTTTATTTACCAGTACTTCATGTCACTGAGTTATTTTTCTACAGCTGACAAATAATAGTAGCTATACCTCCACAACATCTAAAGCTGTTCACTTAATTCATTTGATAATTTTTTTTAGATGTTATTAACATTATGATCAACATTATTATCATAATTACTTGATTGTTTTCAGTGGGATACATTTAAAAAGGACAATTTTATGAATACAAAAACTGAAAATATTTATATTTAGAACATTCTCTGTAATTCAGACTGACTATGCCTTCCCCTTGACATAAAGGGAAAAGTTGGTGCTAAAGAGTCCCACAGCCCCACCTTGTAGTTTAAAAAGGATATGACAATAAAAGGATACTGCACGTTATCAGGCAAGCCTGAACCAGAGCAGCAGCATTTTCTAGAGCCCATCTCTTCTCTAATACTCACCACTGTTACTGCAAACAAAACACACAATACACAGATCAGAAGTCACATCGAGTGGCGGTATTATGTCTTGGGTGTAAAAGTTAGACATTGGATGCCTCCTCTTTAAGATTAGAAAAAGAAGAAATGCTGACTGGTTGTTTTGAGTAAAAGTTCTTAAGTTGATATGGTACCTTGCCAGAAAACTCCTTCCATCTTCATGAGTGGAGCTGCAGATCGAGCCTGCAGAATAACCTGGTGCTGGGTTGACTTGTCTACAAAAAGAAAATTAAAACGAATTGAAAAAAAATCTAAGAAACTAGGATAAAGAGAAGTTTACAGTTTAAAGTTCATCTGAATATTTAATTAAATTAGAATTATTTTATTTTCATTTCTCAAAGCACCCAAATATAAAAATAAATAAAAGAATAAAATGAAGAGAGTAAATTACAAATAGTCAAAAATTACTCACCCATTAAAAAAGTTTTGACGTTTCTGTTTTCGTAACAAACAGAGGGATCACACATCTCTTCCTGCAAAACAGTGATAGGAAATATTACAACATTTACACAAGAAGGACATGATTCAAACATGCATTATATAAATATATTTTCTCTGATATAGAAAAAACATCTTTCCACCATCATACATAAGTCTACAGATGTTATCTGAGACCTGATGCAAGACGAACAGAAAAAGATCCAACACTGATAATCAAAGAAATGGTTTCCAAGTAACAAAAAAAGTGACATCTAGTGAAAGCAATTTGTCTCGGGTGTAAAAGTTAGACATTAGATGCCTCCTCATTAAGATTGGAACAAGAAGAAATGCTGACTGGTTGTTTCGAGTTAAAGTTCTTAGTTTGACATAATAAAATTTTTTTTTTTTTTTTTTTTTTTTTTTTTTTTTAAGCAGTTGAAATTTTTTTCCATGGAATATTTGCACAATAATATTTATTTAGACATATTTTTCTAAATCAGGGGTGTCAACATCTAGTCCTCGAGGGCCGGTATCCTGCAACTTTTAGATGTGCCTCTGCTGCACCACATGAATAGAATAATTAGGTCATTAGCAAGGCTCTGGAGAACTTCTCTACACAAGGAGGAGGTAATTAAGCCATTTCATTCTAGTGTTTTGTACCTGTGGCACATCGAAAAACTGCAGGACAATGGCCCTCAAGGACTGGAGTTTGACACCCCTGTTCTAAATATACATTTTCCACAAATAAGAAGCAAGAAAATGTATCCATTCTCTTTTTGCAAAATATTTTATTTTATTCCTTAGAGTGAATCCTATGTAAGATTTGCAGCATGGCGGCAAAGATAGATATTTTGATTTTGAAGGGTCTAAAGTGTCTCCCTCACTAGGTATTTTCCCTTTAATTAGAGCATCACCTGTTCCTCAGCAGAGTAGCCCATTCTCCGGAGCATGCAGGAAGCTTTGTGTTTTTCTAAGGTTCTGACTGGGACTATGTGGTTGGAGTCATAAGGACATTGCTCCATTGGTTCCTGGGAAAACAACAGCAAGGAGAAGAAAATAGAATCAGAACAAAAACACAATGATAACTAAAGAGCTGTTCAAGCGACATAAACCTGAATCTCACACTTTAAAATGAGAGAACGCATACAAATATGGACAGCATAATTTATTCTAACAGAGAAAAAGCTCAACAAAACGCTGCAAGAGAAAGTAATAGAAAACACGCCAGACCAAATACGTGAACCAGGTATTTATTTCTAAAGAAACAAATATGTTTTTTAGGGTTGTAAATAGAAAGCAGAAGCTACCTGACTGAAGTTCTCGTCGTTTTCCTGCGACCATCCCAACGTTTCAAATAGTTCCTTTAACTGTTTCTGACACGTCTCAGTAAATTCTGTCAGCTCCTGCAGACGGTCCAGGCGGTCCTGAAGGGCTTCCGACTCAACAGGGTCCGACATTCTTGCGTTTCAGTATAAAATCAAACCAGACATTTGACTTCCAACCTCGAAAACTGTACTGGAGGAAGCCATGATGTTCTGCCGCTCGATATGATGACGCATGCGCAAGCGTGGCGAAAATTCTTCTTCTTTGTCTTCTTGAGATTTCAACGGCAGCTTTCATATGACGTTGCACTACTGCCATCTCTTGGATTTCATTACTTATCACCTTTCTTCAAATTTTCCTTTTTCAAAAAACGAAATATTTCCTTTTCCTTCATTACGATTTAATTGAGCAACCAAGTTTTCAAATTGCAGTTCCTTATTAAAATCTGCTTCCATATTCAATAATTTTTTTGATTCACATATTTCCTACAACTAACAATAACATGTTCAATAATTGTATTACACCAATAACTTAAACCAGTATGATGTATTTCCATCTTAGAAATATTTAAATCAAATAAAAATGTGTTGATTTTAGACACACTTAAACCACAAGAGGTGGTAGGTAACTAACCACTACAACACTATACAAACTGCCTCAATAAACAAAGAAACACATATATTGCAAAAATAATCAGCAGTGAAATGAACACACTGGCTGGAAAAACAGTTAAAATAGAATATCACACTCTGATGGACAGCTGACATGATAACATTAAGTAAGAATAGTTTATATTCTGCCATTGTACTGGATATTAAATAGTTTTCTTTAACAGAAATTGGGTTAAGAAAATACTTTAGCTGTCTGTTTACCTCAAGCTTAAGATGGTCAACTGTGAAATGATGAAAAATTTGTTTTATAGTCAGGATGAAAAATTCTCACCAAGAAATGAGAGCTTTTTATGTTTTTGGGAAAAATCTTGACAAAAGCATTTTCTCTTCTTTGCAGTTTCCCAATCCGTCTGGTTGTAGACAACACCACAATGCATCAAAATAACACATTTCATCTTTAAAATGAGTTTTGAATAACATTAATTTCTTCAGTTATGTGAGGTCCTTGAGTGAGGATTTCGGGCTTTACCGAGTTCAAGGATCAGTGCCAGGCCCTGAACGTCTGGAAAGCCACCATTTCATTCTGTGATTGGGACACTGCAGCCAAGAGCTGCAGCAGGCCATCACTACCCTGGGTATGGACTGATTTGAAAGATTTTTTATCATTTTTGACTGATCAAAACAACTTTTTGATAAGTTTGTGAATATTAAAACTATGTAGGACCTTCTTTTAATTGACTTTGCATCATCCATCTTGCTTTTTACTCCAAAAATGCAAATAGATTTTGTCTCAAATTTGTGCTGAAAGCCTAACAACTTCCTCTGCTTCTGTGTACTCAACTTTAGTTGATTATGATTTGACTTTCCCCCATTACATCACAAGATTGAGCGAGCATTTGATCCAATTTAGTAACAAATAAAGTGACTTTCTGGAATTTGGCAGAATTTACTGTAGTCTGTGAGAAATAAAGTTTTCTCACAGAATAATCTGTTAACAATAACAGCTTACTCCATTATTATTAATAGCAGAATGAGAGCTTATTCTGCTCTCATTCTGCTATTAATTAGAATAGCAGAATGAGCTCCAACATCCTGGACTACTCTTAAAAAGAGTAGTTCATCTTTTAAAATCAGGATTTTGGTAATTGGTTTTATCTTTGAAAGACCTGAACTTCTAGAAATGCCAGAACCCACCAATTAATCTGCAGTCTGCAGCTTGAAGTGCTCTGTTAGGAACATTGAACAATCTAATCTCAGATTTTTAAGAGCTTTCTATGTGAGAAGACCATACTTTTTTTTAACTTTCTACACAATGTAAGTAACCTCAGTTAGGTTAGCTGTTATGATCAGTACTTGAGAAACATTTTTACCAAATACCATTTTTTAACTCTTATTTCTACTTGAGAAAAAATATGAGGAAGTGCTATTCATACTGGCGCACAATTTGTGGGAACTCCTTCATTCATACTCACCTCTGTATATGAATTACATTTAGCCTCCTTAAATAAACTCTAGTACAATTATTCCTTGCTGCAAATGAACTTTTAAAAGCTGCTCATGTTCAGTAAAACTGTTTAATTGTAACAGTTCAGGTAAAGGCACATTGTGCAGCACACTACTCTTAAATTTCCTGCATGCTTTTCAGTTTCTTACTATCACAAAAATTACATACGTTTTTATTGGCTTCTGTTTGTGTCATACATGTTTAAGACAATATGAAGAAAGTATCCTTGCCATTTTGAGAGGCGAAAGACACCAGTGGCTTATTGTAAAAGCCACCACCATGTCTGTTGTCTGGGTTTCATATACTATATACTGTTGACTTAAATGGAAAAAGTCTTATTAAAACATAACATAATAATTAATATAAATTCAAAACAAGAATCCAGTGTTCAAGCAAGCAGGTGGGAATAAACCCTAAATATTGTCCATAAATTCCATCTCCATTTTTGATAAATAGCTGTAAGGATGATAAAAATAGATCTAAAGTTCTCGCTCACTGTTCTTGTGAAAATAGGTCCTTCAAAAAACAAAATGCAGACAAAGACTCAAAGTTCTGAATAAATGCAATTTTTATCTTATGACTTCATGAAGAACAACAGAAAGATTGTTGAAATTAGGTCTTTTAAACAATCTTTGTGTTGGGGCAGCTCTCATCATCATATCGATCCTCCTTCAAAATTTGAGTTCCTTGTTTTTTGCAAGCATCATCACATAGCACCTCATCTGCCGTCAATTGTTGTTTTATTTGATTTATTTCGTCCTTGGTTTTCTCGGGATTGCGTACCAAAACTGCTGCATTCTGGCCAATCTGTGGATACAAGAGGGTTACTTATAGTTAAAAAAACCTTAATATATAGTTGACATAAAAGGAAACATGCTGCTGTTAAAATTCTAAGGTTTTATTACACAAAGAAATTACAGCATACTTCATTTCAGATCTTTTCTATTTTTAATGTGATCTTTACAATTCAACTGAAAGCCTTTTATAGAGGACAATATAAAAACAAATTAAGCTGCAACATGTGCATAACCTTAACAGGATTAATATAAAAGGATTAATATATCAAAGGGTTGCTTTATTAAGCAACCCTTTGATTCCAAGTTCAGCATTTTTTTTCTTTAGCATCTTGTGAAGAAATTTCCTTTTCATCACCAAACTGATTTATCTTTACAATTAATCTTTTTGATTTTTTGCAACCTCTTCACAAACAATGGCTTTAGATAAAGGATGCAATTGGATCAAAGTACATAAAAAATAACATTTTTATTACTTCAAGTCAATCATATTCTCTAAAGTTGATAGCAAATAAAATATGCATGTTAATGCTGAAACCAAATCAAAACATGTTTTATAGAAGTATTTTAACTGTGCATGTTTATGGAATGTGTTTATTGCAGATTTTTGCATAAACATTTTTCCTGTAGTAGAATTTCGTTTTTTTCAGTTTGATTATACAAAATATGTCACATTTGAGATAGAAAAATATTTTGTTTACATCTCAAAAACTTGACAGTTCATTCGGAGTGCATATACTCCCTCACTCTGCATCAATCAGCCACATACCTGCAGTGAAATTTTCTCTCCGTAACGTATGTAATTAGCCAGATGTTCGCAGTTGTTGGAGAAGGCTTCCCAAATATCGGTTTTTGGGTGTGTCCCGCAGCTTTCATACTTCTCTTCAATTCGCCTTGTTATTTCTTCTGTCGATACTTTGTCTTTGTAGGTTTTTATTTTGTCCAGGTAATTATCCTTCTCATACTGTTGGATATCAATTTTATCAAAGATGCAGCCACCCAAGATTGCATTTCTTTTGAAACCTATGGAGATATGTACTTTTAAAGTTTTAGTCAAAGTCTGACATATTATTTATTTATTAATAACTGAGCAAAATAAGCTAACATATAGAAAGAAACAAAATATTGAAATTTTACAGTGGTCTTAAATTAGTCAAAAGATACATTACCTGTAAAGTGAAATATGTTGTCATTGTCTTTTTGGTCCTTAAATCTCTTTTTATCCAAATAAATACCATAGTGCTTGAAAGTAAATCCACAACTCTTGGGCACAGCAATGATGTCACCATATTGTAGCTATAAGACAAGAAAAAATATTTTGGAAAACAGAAATTAATAATAGTTCTCAAGCGAATGCTTATTTTTAGCAGGAGTCTTTAGCATATTTAGAATATTTTTTTGATATTCAGAAATAACAACTGAAACACATCAGGAAACAAACTGTTACTCCTAGTTATCACACAATGTGACTTTCCAGGCTTCAGAGTATGTCTATTGGTGAAAACAAACTGCATCAAGAAATTACAAGATGTTGAGATGCAAGCAGAATATTTAATATTAGAAAACTTCTTACTTCACCCTCAGCTGCTCCAATGACCAGATGTAAGGTCACAACTATCAAGAACAAGATCTTCATTTTTCCAAAGGTTAACAACCTTTGAAAGTATAGTACAAATGACATAATCACACCAGCTATTCTGTGACAACATTTTTCATCATTAAATCTCGAACAAATTAGACATAATAATATTAATATTACAGTTACCTGGAAGGTTTATGCAGAAGATGGTCTGATCTGTTGTTGAAGTCTCTCTTGAATAAATGAGAGATTCTTCTGTCACAGAAAATAAGCTTCTTATATAGAACAGGGAACATGATGGCCTGGGTTCCTAGTCCATCTCCACTTTGAGGGGTTGGGCTTAGTAGAAGGCATAACCCATAGATAAAAAGATAGACAGAAACTATATGCTATTTTCTTATTGAAGTTGCTCTTATTATTAATATTTGTCTGTCACAACTGTCAGAGTAATTGAGTGTCAAACTTTGAATGAGAAATTGCCTAAAAAACCTACTATTTCTAATTGTGGCCGCTGTCAAAGGACTGAGAGGCTTTTGCTTCTTCTTTTAGTTTAAAACATTCTTACCTTGTTACATATTAACAGAGTGAACAGTTGAAAAAGACATAATGCCTTCAGGTGAGGGGTTCAAAACTTACAGATGTATAAAATTAAATAATTCAACAGAATTTTACTGAACATGCTGAAAAGAAAAAAAAAATCCTCCAGAACTCTAAGAATGAAGAATTAAGATATACGTCTTAATTCTTAGTAGAATACAAAATCTGCTAAGAAATAAAAAGGGAAAAAATGTGTTTTCCTTTTGGGCAAGCCTAAAGGGAGAGGTATATATGATCAATAACGTGACTCACAAAAATAGTTGAATTGTATGTGTGTGCTCATCTAAACATTGTCAATGGTAAATGTTAGAATAATTACGTTTTGTTATCATTCTTAGAATTGCAGTGTTGTAGTAGTTTGTTTTTTTATTCAGAGGTTTAGTATTCACACCCCAGAGAGGAGGAATTTGTTAAACCGTGTAAAAGACAAAACTTGCTTTTCCCCTTTGCTTTGGAGCTGCAGCTGCTTCTTATCTTGGGAGACTCCTTAAACGGCCTGTGTGTAAAATGTTACTTTCTGTATTCTCTTTCTTTGTCTGTTCAGAATAGCCCTCCCTCCTCATTCCATCCCTGCTATGTTTTGTAATAAAAGACCAGTTTTGATGCAGAAAGTCAGAACGCATGGTAAACACCTTGAAGAAGTGGTATGCTATGTTTTCTCCTTTCGCAAAAAACTTGATTGAAAACCAAAACGTTGTCTGTGGTTCTCCTTTCAAGAACGACACGCTGAAATCCGTGCACGGTCAGATAAAACAAAACCCCGGGAATAAGTAAATGACTTATGACTTCTCAGTAAAAATGTTGGATAATAAGTGGCTAACACTATATAATCTGAAGAGAGAAAAGATATATATATATATAATAATTCCCTTCTCACCCACCGCGGGTGGTTCTTATCCTCTGAGCTCGGGTCCTCTACCAGAGGCCTGGGAGCTTGAGGGTTCTGCGCAGTATCTTGGCTGTGCCAAGGACTGCACATTTCTGGACTGAGATGTCTGATGTTGTTCCTGGATCTGTTGGAGCCATTGCTCCAGTTTGGGGTTACTGCCCCGAGGGCGCCGATGACCACAGGCACCACTGTGGTCTTCACCTTGCAGGCCCTCTCCAGTTCTTCCCTGAGGCCCTGGTATTTCTCCAGTTTCTCTCGCTCCTTTTTCCTGATGTTGCAATCACTTGGTATTGCTACATCTACCACAATGGCTTTCCTCTGATGTTTATCCACTACGACAATGTCTGGTTGGTTCGCCATTACCATTTTGTCTGTCTGGATCTGGAAGTCCCACAGGATCTTAGCTCTGGCGTTCTCCACCACCTTTGGGGGTGTTTCCCACTTTGATCTCGGGGTTTCCAGTCCATATTCTGCACAGATGTTTCTGTACACTATGCCTGCCACTTGGTTATGTCGCTCCATGTACGCTTTCCCTGCCAGTATCTTGCACCTGCTGTGATGTGCTGTACTGTCTCAGGGGCCTCCTTGCACAACCTACACCTTGGGTCTTGTCTGGTGTGGTAAATCTGGGCCTCTATTGCTCTGGTGTTTAGGGCCTGTTCCTGGGCGGCCAGGATGAGGGCCTCTGTGCTGTCCTTGAGTCCAGCTTTTTCCAGCCATTAGTAGGATTTACTGATATCAGCCACTTGGGTTATTTGCTGGTGGTACATCCCATGTAGGGGCTTGTCCTCCCATGATGGTATCTCTGGCACCTCAACCTCCATTCCCTGTTGTCTGAGACATTCACTGAGCACATTGTCTGTTGAGGCTTTGTCCCTGATGTATTTATGGATCTTAGTTTTTTCATCCTGGACAGTGGTTCTCACACTCACTAGTCCTCTGCCTCCGTCCTTGCGGCTCGTGTACAGTCTCAGGGTGCTGGATTTGGGATGGAACCCTCCATGCATGGTTAGTAGCTTTCTAGTCTTAATATCTGTGGCTTTTATCTCCTCCTTTGGCCAGCTGATTATTCCAGCAGGGTATCTGATTACTGGCAGGGCATAGCTGTTTATCGCACGGATTTTGTTCTTGCCATTGAGCTGCTTATATATATATATATATATATATATATATATATATATATATATATATATATATAATATATTATATATATAATATATATATATATATATATATATATATATATATATATATATATATATACCATAACAGAAACCAATGAGCTGATCTACAACTCAGCATCAGTGATCCTTGAGATACTTGGCTATAAGAGCAACCATGAGACCCAATACCCACCATGGAAAAGACGGTTAGAGGCTAAAATCAAGGTAACAAGGAGGGAAGTGAGCCAACTGTCAGAGCACAAGGTCTTTTCATTGCACAAGGGTGCAATGAAAAGACCAGTACCCAGAAAGTACAGGCAGATGCCCATACCTGAAGCACTCGAGACTGCCAAACAGAGGCTCCAAGCCTTGGCCAGCCGCCTAAAGAGAACCTCCTGAGCCGGCTCTTCTCCACTCAACCAGCTAAGGTGTACTCTCAATGGCAGGGTAACAATAACAACAGAGCAGACCCACCAAGGCTGGAGACGGAACAATACTGGAAAGGCATATGGGAAAGGGAGGCAATGCACAGTGGCTGATCTCTCTACGAGAGGACCACAGCAACCTCCCTGAGCAAGCCCCGGTAACCATCACTGTGACAGATGTCCAAGAAAGAGTCTCAGGTATGAAAAACTGGACAGCACCAGGGCCTGACATGATCCATGCCTACTGGCTAAAGAAACTCACTGCTCTCCATGAGCGAATGGCAGCCCAAATGAACCAGCTGCTACAAAGTGGGACTCACCCTGAATGGTTAACTGAAGGGCGGACAATCCTAATCCAGAAGGATCCATCAAAGGGTCCAGTCCCACCCAACTACCAACCAATAACCTGCCTCTCCACAACCTGGAAGCTCATGTCAGGCATCATAGCGGCCAAGATAAGCAAACACATGGATAAACATGAGCACAGCACAGAAGGGTATCGGTGTAAATACCAGAGGAGCCAAACACCAACTTCTCGTAGACCGCACAGTTGCCCGAGACTGCAAAACCCACACACACCAACCTGTGCATGGCTTGGATCGATTACAAGAAAGCCTATGACTCAATGCCGCATACTTGGATCATTGAATGCTTAGAGATGTATAACATCAACAGGACTCTGAGAGCCTTCATTGCAAACTCGATGAGGCTGTGGAAAACCACCCTTGAAGCCAACTGCAAACCACTTGCACAAGTGTCCATCAAATGTGGCATATACCAAGGAGATGCTCTGTCCCGCTACTGTTCTGTTCTGCATAGGCCTGAACCCCCTCAGCCAAGTTATCAACAAGACTGGCTACGGATACCGACTCAAAAATGGGGCCAACATCAGTCACCTACTCTACATGGATGACATCAAGCTGTACGCCAAGTGTGAGCGAGACATCGACTCACTGATCCACACCACCAGGATCTACAGCACGGACATTGGGATGTCATTCGGACTAGAGAAATGTGGTCGGCTGGTCACAAAGAGGGGGAAGGTCATCCACACAGAAGGGGTCTCACTCCCAGAAGGAACAATAGCAGACATAGAGGACAGTTACAAGTACCTAGGTATACCACAAGCAAGGAGCACGAGAAACTGGAGAAATACCAGGGCCTCAGGGAAGAACTGGAGAGGGCCTGGAAGGTGAAGACCACAGTGGTGCCTGTGGTCATCGGGCCCTCGGGGCAGTAACCCCCAAACTGGAGCAGTGGCTACAACAGATCCCAGGAACAACATCAGACATCTCAGTCCAGAAATGTGCAGTCCTTGGCACAGCCAAGATACTGCGCAGAACCCTCAAGCTCCCCGGCCTCTGGTAGAGGACCCGAGCTCAGAGGATAAGAACCACCCGAGGTGGGTGAGAAGGGAATTATTATATATATATATATATATATATATATTTTTTTTTTTTTCATGTTTTTTTTTAAGATATATTTTAAGTAATTTTAAAAAACACAGAAAAACTGAACTCAGACAACTTCCACTGGTCTACTCCATGACATCAGCACGGAGAAGGAATCGATAATGTGGTCCAGAGGCAAAGACAACAAACTGAATTGTTTGACAATCGTTTCATTTGTGGACAACATGGATATTAACTGAGGGACTGTCTGAGCAACTCCAAGACCCAACACCAGAACCAGTTTCACTGACAGGAAAATTGAGGAGAGAGGAGGAGGGAGGACTACCCCCCAGCGATGCCAGCAGCAGGAGGAGGAGGGAGAACTGAAATCATCCAAGATAAGTGTACCACTCACACACAGCTGGTTTACACCCTGCTACTGCAATGAAGACTTGCTTGCTTTCTAACCCTGTTCACATATTATAGCTCTTAAAATGTACACGTTACCTAAAACAAGATCCTGACAACTAAAAATAAATATTAATGCAATAAAAATGTTAAATATTGAAAATTCTTGAAACTTCAGAAAAAGTGATCATTTGAGCACAGGAAAACAATGAAAGCAGACTGAAAATTTGTGACCAACTGAAAATATGATTAACTTTATGTTTCTGTTTGTGTCGCTTTGCGTTGATGGAAATGACTGTGATTATGAGAATAAACAGACCGTACTCAAGAACTGAGTAACTGATCAAATTATT